CAGGCAGTAGCGGGAAGCTGTATTAGAACTGGAGCGGCCCGGACTGGAACTGGCACTCTGCTGATTTAGGACACCAGCATCACAGGCTGTGGCTTTGCCTGCTGGGCCTCTATTCTGGCCCCAGACATTTTTGTTTGTAGAACACTCTGGGTTTCAATGGAATGTGTGTGTGTGTGTGTGTGTGTATACGTACACGTATCACTTTGAGCAATAATGCCTGACACATAGTACTCTCTGTTAGTTATTACTATTATTATCACTTAAAATACTATTTGAGTTGGTAGGATGAAGAGGAACAAAGAGTATTTTTTCTTTAATGGATGTTAATGTACACAGTTTTTTTTCAAGTATTCTTCCTCTTTGATTACCACACTCTCCTTTGGAAATCGTATCCACTTTGCATGGCCTAGCAGGAATGCCCTCTCACTGAGGACACCTAGGAAGAGCCTTAGTCCCAGATGCTTGGCTGTCTTCTCAGTTAACATGGACATTACTAGGGCTCGAACTGTCATCAAATTCTTGCAAGTTTCAGATTACTCTGTCATCGTCTTTACTGGCTGACAGCTCTTCCCACTTTCATGATTGAGAAAAGGTTCAGAAAACATGGGATTTTAAAGTGGTTCTTCTGAATGATTAGCTCCTGACACCCCTCACCATCCTGCTCAGATCAATACTGTGTTGACCTTCCTGCCAACCTCTAAGTGCATTTATAATCTAAGTATATTTATGAATTAAAACTATTTAAAATAGAAACAAATCAAGTTAGAGTATATATCAAAACTTTAGAGGGGGAGTGACTTTGAGTTTAGAAGTAATAGCTGTTCTCAGATGAAAAAAATTTTTTTATTACACAAGCAGAGTTAGAGAGACAGAGAGAGTAACTGTTTTTCCTCATTCTGTCAGCATCAGTATTTCTTAAAATATATAGATGTTTGAACATTTTTTTGTTGGTCCCCTTCATGAAACTTCATCTTTCTGTACGATAAATTTCTAGATGTGGAATTACTAGGTCAAGGGAGTGAATTCAATGGAGTTGCAATGACATTTTTTAAAAGCCTTTGTGGGCATTCTCAAAAAAGAAGGAACGGGTGTAGAGGTGCCATTTTCCTTGAGTAATGCTTAGCATTTAAATTCCATGCTCATAATAGGCTTGTCATTTTCCCTGCTCTGGGACATAAAACAATTGCATCATGTGGCCTTCAAGTGCCTTTAATGGAGGCAGTGGTTGCTGTTAGCACACCAGGCTCTTCACTGGGCTGCTAATCCCAGGCTCCACGCCTGTCAGCCCTCTTCATCAGCTGTAACTCAGCCAGCAGCTTTGAGGGTGAAGAGGTTAAAAAAAAATCCCAACAATGAAATCAGGGGCTTAGCAGTGGATCTTGACTACTGGCTCATTTTCACTCACTTTCAGTTCGTTGTGTAAACTCTTGGGATGCTTCCAATTTTCGAATTTTAGGCAGCGTTAAGAGGCACGTAATCTTGCCCATGGTCGCTTCCTAACTCCGTGGCTGGAGATGAATTTCTGGTCCTGCAGTCAGTGGTGTTTCCTGAGGGAAAGTCACTGCCCTGGCAGCCTTTTCCCTCTCTGCTGCCGCCTCCCTGCACACAGTGATTGTTTCATTCTTTTCCAGAATCCTGGAGTTCCCCCTTCTGCACTATCTAAACAAAAGGAATGTAGTCCCTTGTTCTTGCAAGCTGCCTTTCAGGTGCGCCTGGCTACCGTGCTGGAAAGCTCAGATGCACGGCATTTTGTCACAGCAGACAAGTCCCACTGAACAGTCGGTCAGGACCTCCCGGAGCCGCTGTGTCTCACGTTTCCGCATCTTATGGAAGTTTCTCAGCATCCCTGTCTGTCTTTCCTTTCAAAGAAGATCAGTTCATATTTTCCAGTGTGCTCCTTTCCCTCGTAGCTGAGTTCCAGCCGGAAGGAACAACCGCAGACAGCCTCTGTCTCCTTCCCTGGAATCATCGCTCCTGCCTTGCAGTGTCTGTACCACCCAGCTTCCCACCGGACCCAGCAGCCCGCCGATAGGCCACTGCCCCATTTCCCTCCTTCGCCTCACCCAATTCCTCTTTTAGGAAAGTGCTCCCTATACCTCGATGCAGTTTCTCACCACTGCTCACTTCCGCCAAGTCACTGCAAACAGCCAGCGGGCTCCGGATTGCCAAACACAAACGACCTCTTCTCAGCCACCCTCTTCCTCCTCACAGGAAGGATTTGATGCTGTGAGGAAAACGTTCCCAGTAGTCTTATTTCTTCTTTATTTACAGTTCACAGTGTGGGGCCTGCACTGTGGCCTAGTGAGTGAGGCCACAGCCTGCAGTGCTGGCATCCCATATGGACATTGGTTCCAGCCCCAGCTGCTCCACTTCTGATCCAGCTCCCTGCTAATGTGCCTGGGAAAGCAGTGAAAGATGGCCCAAGTGCTTGGATCCTGCACCCACATTGGAGAGCCAGAAGAAGCTCCTTGCTCCTGGCTTTAGGCCAGCCCAGCTCTGGCCGTCGCTGCCATTTGGGGAGTGAACCAGCAGACTGAAGATGTCTCTGTCTCTGCCTCTTTGTAATTCTTTCAAATAAATATTTTTTTTAAAGTGTATTCGCAACATTTTTAAAAAAGAAACAACATAAGTTGATTTTGTTGTAACAGTTCTTGAATCCATGCATAATTCTCATTTTTTAAATTTTTTATTTATTTATTTTTATTTTTTTGACAGGCAGAGTGGACAGTGAGAGAGACAGAGAGAAAGGTCTTCCTTTGCCGTTGGTTCACCCTCCAATGGCCGCCGCGGCCGGTGCGCTGTGGCCGGCACACAGCGCTGATCCGAAGCCAGGAGCCAGGTGCTTCTCCTGATCTCCCATGCGGGTGCAGGGCCCAAGCACTTGGACCATCCTCCACTGCACTCCCTGGCCACAGCAGAGAGCTGGCCTGGAAGAGGGGCAACTGGGACAGAATCCGGCACCCTGACCAGGACTAGAACCCGGTGTGCTGGCGCCGCAAGGTGGAGGATTAGCCTAGTGAGCCGCGGCGCCAGCCACATAGTTCTCATAATATGCATTTTCCACAAAATATGAGCTTAGCAATTTTTCATACCTTTTTTATCACTTTTTTATAGCTTTGTGGTATTCTCTACCAATGTACTGTAGCTTAGTCAGCTCCCCTCCCCGCCCCTTAAAAGATTTTATTTATTTATTTATTTGAGAGGTAGAGTTGGGGAGAGAGAGAAAGGTCGTCCGTCCGTTGGTTCACTCTCCATATGGCCACAAGGCTGGAGCTGAGCCAATCCAAAGCCAGGAGCTTCTTCCGGGTCTCCCAGTGCAGGGCCCCAAGCACCTGGGCCATGTTTCACTGCTTTCCCAGGCCATCATCAGAGAGCTGTATCAGAAGAGAAGCATCCAGAACAGGAACCGTCACCCAAATGGGATGCCAGCTCCCTCTTGATAGGCATTTGAACCATTCTCTTTGCTATTTCCAAACTGCCTTGAAGAATAACTTTCGTGAGTTGTTTTGCTCCTGTGTGTGGGTATATTTGGAAGTTACTGGCAAGACCCAGTTGCATTTTGTCCATTTACTTACTGTTCTTTGACCATCTACAATCCCTGCTCTTAGTACTCTGATTCTCTTTAGCAAGTTAGATACTTCAGCCCAGTCTTACTCCTTAGTTCAGAAGCCTTCAGGGACTCCCCATGGGCATATTTCCCTGTCCCGTCAGTGCCGGAGGGGAGGCAGGCAACTGGATCCACAGACACAAGCCATGGGAGCAGTCGGCATTGTCTCCCATTGGACTCTGTTCTACTAGAAGGGTCTACTTGGCTCTGCACGCACGTGCCCCATGTGTTTGTGTCTCTTTCTGTGCACAGAGTACCTTCCAGCCCTTGCAGTACACCCTGCAGTACAGCCGTGAAGTGCCCTTGATTACTGCTCCCTTCTGCTAAAAATAGTCTTGCCTTCTGCTGTGTACTGTTACAGGGCATATCCTTTTCTACCGTGGATTACATTACAATATCTGTGCATTTTTCCTTTAGCTACTAGTTAGTAATGGCCCAAACACAAGGATGGTGCCTTCTTCTGGTTTCCTATCCCCTAAACACCTCTTAGCATGGTGTCTTGCATACACTAATGATGAAAAAGGGCCACGTTCTTTCTCTTCTTACCTGAAGTGATGGAGTGGTGAATATGCAGAACTCACCCCATCCCTGCTCATTCCAGTTTTGTTTTGTTCTGGTTTTTTCAAAAATGACTTTTCCCCCTCCCTTCTAGGAATGTTTTTACAAGCTTGGAGCTATGAAGTCTTCCTTTCCCAGTGACTGTTCCTATGACCTGCTGGGAAACGAGGGTGTTGTGCAGTTCCATGCTTGTTCTGTTGTCATCGAAAACTACTGGCAGGACCAATATGTTGTCCACATTGTAGCACAAGACATAATGCATAATTTTAAACCAGGTGTCCCTTTTTATTAAAAAAGATTGATCGATTTGAAAGGCAGAGTTAGACAGAATCTTCCATCCGCTGGGTCACTCCCCAGTTGGCCACAATAGCAAGGGCTAGGCCCGGCCAAAGCCAGGCACCAGGAGCTTCTTCTAGGTCTCCCATGTGGGTACAGGGGCTCCAGGACCATTCTCTGCTACTTTCCTAGGTACACTAGCAAGGAGCTGGATAGGAAGTGAAGCAGCTGGAACTCAAACCTGCGCCCGTATGGGATGCTAGTGTTATAGGTGCCAGCTTAACCCCCTATGCCACAATGCCAGCCCCAACCAATTGTCTGTTTTTATTGGAAGACGGACTGCTTTTCTGATAACTTCATTTTTAATACAAATAAAAACTGCTAACAGAATCTAATCTTGTGGGCACAGTTCTGACTATATAGTATCTTTAAAGGGCACAGTACTACATCCCAGGCACTTATGAATGTAATGTAGCCAGGGTCCCCTGCGTCCATACAGGATTGTCAGTGCACTGGGCCTACCCCGTGTGACGGTGCTTTCTCTTTCCTGTGCTGTTAGGTTTTTGAAGAGCCCTCCATCAGCCTCTTTGCACTGGAACATTGTGAGGGAAGAGAGCTACATCTCGAAGAGGCTGTGAATTCTGTCCTGAACAAAGACTTGCATTTCTACACCCAGTCTGTTTGGGTAAAAAGCGGACTGTAAGTACGGGAGAAGAGTTTGGTCTGCTTTGGTCACTGTTTTAGGACAGAGTTGCACAGTTGCTGTTGTTGGGATCTGTTGGTATTCGTAGCCTTTTCTCTGTCAGTGGACTAACAGTAGATTCTGTGTCAGTTGGAGAAGACTGCCAGCCACCCGGTAGGTGTGTAGTAGCAGTGGCCTGGGGGAAGAGCCCTTTGGAGAGGAGGGCTACCACCCTGTCACAGTCGGTTGACCCCAGGACCTTTCCTGGTGCCACTTTCCTTCCAGGAGAAAGTCCCTTAATGCAGCAAGTATAACTAGTTAAGAAGATCGTCTGCTAAGGCAAGTGACTCAGGACAGACGAAGAGTGCCGTGTATTTTGATTTGACCGCTTGCTTCTCCTGGAGTGCTTCTCTTCGTGGCACTCATTTTCATTCTGGAGTACACCTGTAGACCTGGCCTGCCGGCCCGTGTTGCTCATACATTCAGATTATCAGTCAGGTTGTGTTAGGCCTGCCTTTTGAGATTTGGGAAGTTACCTTTAAGAAAAAAAAAAATTTTTTTGACAGGCAGATTTAGACAGAGACAGAGAGAAAGGTCCTCCTTCCGTTGGTTCACCCCCAAAATGGCCGCTATGGCCAGTGCGCTGTGCCAATCCGAAGCCAGGAGCCAGGTGCTTCCTGCTTCCTCCTGGTCTCCCATGGGGTGCAGGGCCCGAGCACTTGGGCCATCCTCCACTGCACTCCCGGGCCACAGTAGAGAGAGAGCTGGACTGGAAGAGGAGCAACCTGGACTGGTGCCCCAACTGGGACTAGAACCCGGTGTGCCAGCACCGCAGGCGGAGGATTAGCCAAGTTAGCCGCGGCACCGGCCAAGAAAAAAAAATTTAAACAATGATTACCTAAAGTGGGTATAAACTTGCATATTTAGAACAAACATGGTGAGAGGCCTGCCAGTGAGCGGCCATGAAATTGAAGCTGTTTATTTCCTGGGAAATCTGCCTCTCTGGCCATTTCTGAAGAGTGTGGCAGATAAGCTAGCCCTTCCTCCTGCACTGCTGGTATCTTTGGTACCAAAAGCCAACTTAAAAAAACACATAACTCTCAGTGGTTAGTATAAGAATGGCTGCTTTTATTTAGGATGGCTTATGAATTATGTGATCATTAACTCAGCTTGTTTAAATATTTGGGAGCTAATGAGAGATAAAGCCAATAATTGAAAATGAAGTCAACTATTACAATATCTGGCTTTTATATTATTCACATGAGTTTAAATTTCCTTCTGCAAAGCATTTCACATGGCTTGGTGTTTATTAAAATAAATTGATTTACTCTAGCTAAGCTACGGTTCTGGTGTATTATTTCCCAATTAACAAAGTCCATATGATCTAAATTTTACATCCTCATAATACAGGACTTTCACAGCACTTTTATACATTTCTTGTCTTTTTATTCTTGAGTGAAACGAACACTTGACTCATCTCCAAAAATTTCTCACCTTCTATTTCACTCTGTTCTCAAAAACTGGTGCCACTTTACCTCGACAGTGTTCATGTCTCCTCTTTGGCTTATTATCTACCTTCTGGTCCAGAATCTCTGTAGAGACTGACATGCAGATGAAGGAACAGTAGACCCTCTCTCAGAAGTTGTTCCTGGGCTATACAAACGGCTGGCAGGATGCTGCTTACTGCACAGCCGGCTACCTCCAGGGACAAGTTGTGTTCTTTTTAATCCCCTTGTTATGTCACATCTTTGATCTGTGATGGTAATGAGGGCCTGCTTTAGCGCACCATCCCACACAGCTTTTCCAACTAGGGAATTCATTTAAATCAATATCGATGCAGTTACTTAAAATCTTGCTTAAATTTTCTAAATGCAACTTGAAGAACCTGTGACACTAGGGAAGCAGCTGCGCCTCTCTGTGGCCCTGCTGACAACCCCTGCACCATTCTGATGGTTCAGCTTTAAGTTTGCAAAAAAGGGGTCCGGGGAAGGCCTTCTAGCCAGAATTTGACCAAGCCTGATCTCGGTTGTGGATAGCAAGGTGGATTTCCCCTAATAATTGTCAACTTAGGTACATAATCTTTATCCAGAGTTTTCATATACCGAACTTGGAATCTCTCCTTTCTCCCCTCAGCTTTATGAAGAAGTTGATGTCTCTTCCTGCATTAAGTGAGATGCATGTCCCTAAGGAATACTGCCTTTTGAGTGTTCATGTGGAAAACCAAAGGTCTGAAACCACTGCCCTAGCAGCACCACAGCAAACCTTTGTAGCTGTGTCGGCAGCCCTGGACCAGCCTGCTCCTGAGAACCAGCCCCTCTGAGTGCAGGCAGCTCAACTCCAGGGTTATCCATCCCTGGGGTCAAGGCAGGGCAACCTCTGCTGCAGTTCTAGGTGCTTCTCTGAGGCAAGCAAGGCAGCCACTTCTTTCTTAAAGTGCTGTCCGCAGTGACCTCCAGTCTCGCTGAAAACTCCAGGTCCTCTTGGTGACCCAAGTTTATTTTCCTCAGCCATCCAGCTTGAAACTGCCTAACGCGGGGAGCAGTCCGCTTTTTTCTGTCAAGGTCCAGGCAGGCCTTTCAGTCCAGGGGTATCCCTCGCTGTCAAAACTACTCAGCCTGCTGTGAGGGTGCAGAAGCAGCCATAACCAATCTGGGAAGCAGTGGGCTTGACTGTTTTCACTAAGTCAGCCTTGAAATGCCAGATCCTGACCTCAAGGCCCTGTACACCTTTACACACTTTAACACAGGCAGAGTGGAAGCCAAGAGTATCCGGGAGGATTTGCAAAGAGGCTGGGCCTTAGAGTGACAGGGAGACATCTGTGGATCTCTTTAAGTCCACAGGGCCATGGGGATGTTGAGGGAGTTGTAGAAGAAACATCTGGTGGGGTCACTGGAGATTCATTGTGAGGCCGTCAGGGACGTGTGATGATGTTCCTAATGGTGGGAGAATGGTTTTCTGCTGGGTAGTAGTGGGAACTTAGTTATCTTTGAATGTTAAAATGCTTTGAAAAAAGGCCAATTGGGGAGTGAACCAGCAGACAGAAGACCTCTCTCTCTCTCTGCCTCTCCTTCTTTGTGTAACTCTGACTTTCAAATAAATAAATTAAATAAATTTAAAAAAAAAGTGTTATCAAAGGAACATGCAATTTCAAGAGCTGGAGGGAGCCTTGCATTCACTTTGGAAGTAAGGGAATCGGCAGTCAAATTGGAACCCAGATCTTCTAACTCCAGTCCAGTGATTTTTCTCCTATATTTCTCTGCTCTCTGTTAAGAAAAAAATGCAATTTTTTAATATGCAAATGTCTAGGTTTCAAAGAGCAAACCCTAAAGGTATGATAGCAGGTATCTTTGATAAGAGAATGCTTTTGTGTTTTGAAGTACCTCACTTTTTTTTTCCTGCTCTCTTACAGATGGATAGCTTATGAAGGATCTAATTTCTTAGGGAGACAAATACTACTTGAGTCTAATGAGATCCCAAACTGGACAGTGTACAGTGGGTGGAAAACAATTGGTTCCCTGCGTCCTATGAAACAGGTAAGGAAAGACTTGTAAGATCCAAAATACCTGAATTTTCTGGTAGAAATGTCATAAACCACAGCGTCTGAAATGGTAACCTTTAACTTAGTTTGCCATTTATATAGCAGGAAGAACATATTGTGTTGGAGGAATCTTGCAGATTTTCTCCAGTTCATAAAACTGCATCTAAATCAACACTGGATTTTAGGTTTAAGTCCCAAGTATTACTGGCCATGCTCCCTTCCTTTCGAAAAATAAGGAATCGTAAGCTCTAGCAAACAATGGGGACAGGAATGAACTTTGATGCTACTCTAGTTTTACTTTTTAAGTATCTGGAATTTTTTTTTCCTTACTTACATAATACTCAGGATGGATTCTGGCAATTTAATTAAAATAGTATGTACTGCACACCTACTGCTTGTCAGTCTTCTGTTCCAGCTTCCCACAGCACGCAGTGTGGCCTGTGGGATCTGCCTTCCTGCTGCTTCTCCAGCCTCATCTCTCTCAGCCCTCTCCCACCCACATAGATGTGCCACATGCAGCACATGTAGCTTTCCCACTCAGGCTCTTACCATAGGCTGTGCCTGCTGCCTGGAACACACTTCCCTCACTGTTGGCCTGTGAGCTCTTCCTCATCTCTGAATTCAGTGCAAGCCTCCTCCTGGATGCCTCCCTCGCCCTGTCTTTATATCCTGAAAGACATGGTTCTTTTCCTAGGAGATACCCATAAAAAGACACCTGGGCTCACTGTACTGAAAACCTCATGAAGGTACAGACCATACATATATTTTGCTTATTGCTGCACACTGAGTGCCTGACACAATGTCTCACACATTGTAGATATTCAGGGATTATTTACTAAATGAAGAAATGAATGTATAACTGGATGAATAAATATTTGATATTATACAAAGCATATGATGATATACATAATTTCTACCCTTTTTCCATTCATCTTTTTTTAAAACTTTTATTTAATAAATATAAATATGCAAAGTACAGCTTTTGGATTACAGTAGCCTTTTCCCTACCATAACTTCCCTCCCACCCACAACCCTCCCATCTCCTGCTCCCTCTCCCATCCCATTCACATCAAGATTCATTTTCAATTATCTTTATATACAGAAGATCAATTTAGTATATATTAAGTAAAGATTTCAACAGTTTGCACCCACACAGAAACACAAAGTATAAAGTACTGTTTGAGTACTAGTTATAGCATTAATTCACCTAGTATAACACATGAAGGACAGAGATCCTACATGGGGAATAAGTGCACAGTGACTCCTGTTGTTGATTTAACAATTTGACACTCTTGTTTATGGCGTCAGTAATCACCCTAGGCTCTTGTCATGAGTTGCCAAGGCTGTGGAAGCCTTTTGAATTCGCTGACTCCAATCTTATCTAGACAAGGCCATAGTCAAAGTGGAAGTTCTCTCCTCCCTTCAGAGAAAGGTACCTCCTTCTTTGATGGCCCATTCTTTCCGCTGGGATCTCACTCTCAGAGATCTTTCTGTAGGTCTTTTTCTTTCTCTCTCTCTCCTTTTTTTTTTTTTTTTTTGCCACAGTGCTTGGCTTTCCATGCCTAAAATACTCTCATGGGTTTTTTAGCTGGATCTGAATGCCTCAAGGTTCTGATTTCTACCTTACTGAGCTTAAATTTTTATTGGGTGAAACACATCCAATTCACATTGAGTGTTTGGCACAATAATTAAGATGTTGCTTGGGATACCTGCCATCTTTTATCAGCTTGACTGGGCTGGAGTCCTGGCTCTGCTTACTAATCCAGCTTCCTGCTAATGCACACCCTGGGAGGCAGAAGTTGACGGCTCAAGGACTTGGGTCCCTGCCACCAACATGGGAGACCCATATTGAGATTTGGGCTCTGGGCTTCAGCCTGGCCCAGCACTAGCTGCTGCAGGCACTGAAGGAGTAAATGAGAGGATGGAAGATCCTCTGTCTTGCAAGTAAAATGAAAATAAAGTGTAAAACATATCCAAAGTAGTAAATTAAAAAAAAAAAAAGTGATATGTAAGCATCAAAAACCACAGGCAGGGCTTGGTTGAGAGAGGGGAAGTCTCATTGTGTTTGGCAGTGGGAAGAGTTTATAGAGGGTAGAAAGCTCAAGTGAGGTCCTTGGGTGTGAGGTCCAGTGGATTTGCTGTTTCTACCTCCTTTTAGAAACACTTTCTCACTGGATTTGGACTGTAGTCCTTTGAAGTACGAATTATCCCCATTTTTCTAGTTGGAAAAATAAGGCTAGGAGGTAAAGCACATTTGAGGAAGTTGTATCTAAGTGAGTGTTTGAACCTGAATGTGTTAGTTTCTAAAAATCTTTGTATATAAAGCACCCACACTCTTCTTCCCTCTAAAATAAGGTCAGCCTTGAGAGTCCCACAATGTATTCCAGGCGCTGAGCTAAGTGTAGCCCGGGGGATGGAGGTGCTGAGGCTCACAGGTGCTGACTTCACAGAACATTAAACAGTAGCCAGAAACTTTTAACCTAACTTGTCTTCTCATCCCTGTCATACGAACACACACACACACACACACACACACACATACACACACATGACCTAGCTCATTGCCACAACTCTTGGCCTACGCTGGCTGTGCTGCTTGTAAGCAGTGTGACCTTGGTGAATCACTTCATTTCTTGGCATCTTGGATTTCTCTTTGGTAAAACCATGATCACACTGCGTCCGTCTCATTGTGAGGCTTAAGTAAAATAGTGGATGTCCAGTTTCTGCTGTAACAACTGACTCATTTTCCTGTGGTGATAACATTTATTTTGAAAGTGTTATTTACAGTGCCACTTGGGAGAACCAGAGGCACTCTTCTGAGGGTTACTAAATCCTTAGTGTCATTCTTGGGCATGGGATCGCATGACCTCTGCATGTTGCTTTTTCCTCCCTTGTAATCAATCATGTGGGATGATGGATAATTCTACTGGAAAGCCATAGGAAAAAGCAAGGTGTAAAAACAGGAATTCCGTTTATTTCTTACTAACTACATAATAATGCAAATCCTATTCTGTTAAAAACTTTGTAGCCAAGCTTAACACTGACAGTATTTTCCTCAATTTTGAATGGTGTTTCCTTCCCTAGGGAAGGATGTTCCTTTCCACTGGTCAGGATCCTCAGACAAAGGATAACTTATGTACTGTCTAATTTTACATGGAAGTTTTTTGACAATGAAAATGATCCTTCAAGATTGATTTATTTGAAAGACAGAGATAGAGACAGAGTAAGAGAGATTTTTCCATTTACTGGTTCATTCCCCAAATGTCTGTAAGTAAGCCTGGGCTGGGTTTCCTATGTGGGTTGCAGGGACACAAGTAGTTGGGATGTCATATGCTGCCTTCCCAGGTGCATAGCAAACTGGACAGGAAATGAGTAGCCAAGACAAACTGGACTTCAATATGGGATGCAGGTGTCCCAGTGCACTGTGCCACAGTACCTGCCCCTAAAAATATGATTACATTGTGCCTTAATTTAGGAACCACATGATTCCTACTCTGATTAAACATCTACCCTGATTAAACATTTAAGTGTAAAATATGTCAGTAGATTTCACTGTTGACTATTTAGGCCACAGCTTTGAAACTCAGCAAAGGAATTTTGGCTTTCTAAAATGGTAGCTGGTAGATCACATTTAGGGTACTAGTATTACTTTAGCTCATATTATTTAGAAAATCAGAGATGATTAAAATGTGATCCTCTGTCAGGTTGGGGATTTGGAAATCACCAAGGTACTTACACCACCTATCAGTGTTTTCCCATATAACAACAAGGGAGTCAGACTACCAATGTGTAACAAGGGTAATTAATTAGCACCTTGTTTGAGTTAATTGATTACAACTCTGATGTTTGGTCCTAAAGTAATTGGAATCCTGTCGTCTGTGAAGGGCATACCTGTTTTTTTACATGTACAAAGTAGTGAAAATATAATAAAGACATACTTAAGCTTCAAGAATTAATAATGGTTATAAGACCAAGTCGAGTTACAGAAATTTAAGCACGTTATGAATGTGGAAGGTGTTTAGAAGCATTTAAAACATTCTGCTAAATCTTGTTCACCTGCTTTCAATGACCAGTTTGCCCTTCTTTTTGCTTAGGTGCTCAGAATATTTAGTCCTTAGGAAAGCTAAACAATCCAGCAATTTACCAAAATTCATCAGACCTCACATTGATCTAAACTGCAAAAGCACACTATTCACTGGTGATCTTAACCATAATGCCAGGTTGAATTTACCTAAGCACTTCCTTTTCTGAGTCAAAGTCTTAGTAACAGACCCTTTGTTTTTATTTAGCCCAGGTTCTCATTGGGAGCCCAGTACCCAACCAAAGGTAGGGATATTGGGTGTCCTGTGTTTTGCTTTATTAGGGCTGGAGGCCTACGTCATGGGCTAGAAAATGGGTTCTGTTGAACTTTAGTTATGTGCCCTGCTCTTTAACTGCCTTATACTGCCATCTTTGAAATTAGTTTCTTATTCTAGCATAGGCCTTGGAACATTCTGGTTAAGAGGAAGGGTTTTATTATAGGCAGATCTGGCTTCCTCCATTCATTGTTAACCTTATTTGTAAAACTAGGGTCATAATTACATATTTTTTTAAGATTTATGTATTTTACTTGAAAGTCAAGAGTTACAGAGAGAATAGAGAGTTCTTCTGTCTGCTGTTTCACTCCCCAAATGGTGACAAAAGCTGGCAAAGCCGAAGCCAGGAGCTTTCTCCAGGTCTCCCATGTGGTAGCAGAGTCCCAAGCACTTGAGCCATCTTCAGGTGCTTTTCCCAGGTCATTAGCAGGGAGCTGGGTGGGAAGTGGAGCAGCCTGGATTCGAACTGGTGCCCTTATGGGATGCCGTGTGGTATCACAGGTAGCAACTTTATGCCACAACACCAGCCTGTTATACTAAAAGGGTTGTTCTGGTTATTTATTCTGACAAGTAACAGCGGCACAGAAAGCTTTTATCTTACTGATTTACATATACTAAAGTAGTCATAATTATTAGCTTATTATCCTTAGACACAAGTTCCAGATTAAATATTTTAAAAATTCCTGAACATACTCTAGGAAAAGGGACAACGTCCTTGGTTACCCAATTTTTTAAAATTGGCATGATTAAACATAGTCTTGTCCCTAAAAGAAACATGAAGATTTATTTATGTAAACAAGGGTTGTCTCTGGGGGCCTGGCATTGTGGCTAAAGCCACTGCCTTTGACACTGGCATCCCATATGGGCACCTGTTTTGAGTTCTGGCTGCTCCAGTTCTGATCCAGCTCCCTGCTGGTGACCTGGGAAAGCAGCAGAAGATGGCCCAAGTCCTTAGGCCTCTGCACCAATGTGGGAGACCAAAGAGGCTCCTGGTCTTGGACTGGTCCATCTCTGGCAGTTGTGGTCACCTGGGGAGTGAACCAGAGGATGGAAGATCTCTCTCACTCTGTCTCCTTCTCTCTGTGTAAACTCTGCCTTTCAAATAAATGAACAAATCTTTAAAAAGTTGTCATTGCTACTGAATCTCTCAGCTGTCTTGGTTTTTCAGGATCCTCCACAGCAGTATTGTGACAATTAACGTAGCTCAAGGCAGTATTTCTGATTACTGTACTCGTCTTTCTTGAACTCTAAGACCTTTGCAGGTATTTATTCCACACCCCTACTGTCCTGTGCCAGGCTGAGACACTTGAGGCACTCATCAAGTCCCTAAGTTCTCATCAGCTGGCCGTCTGCCACTTATAATTCTAGTGGATGCAATTATTGCTTTTGACCAAAAATACTTTCACTGGGGACTTTTCAGAAAGTGTAATAGAGATTGTACAATTTAAGTGTTTTGCTCAATAGTCTCAAGAATTTATCAGTAAAATTATTCTTTGTATTTGTGACAGGGAATAACAGTGAATGAGATACAAATAAGCTGGTAACCTCTCAGCTTTCCTTCTTTGTAAAGACTGATTTGCAGATTCAAAAAGTTATTTCTAAATGGCTGTTTCTTCCAACACAGCCTGCTGTATACATCAGAATAAAGAACCGAGCCCAGGATGAGTATCTAACAGTCACTGGAAATATAACTGACCCGAGGGCAACTTCCGTGTGCATTTCCCCCTACAGTGGAAAGAACACTCAGATCTGGCACTACTGTCGAGGACTCTTTAAATCCAAGGTAAATAACCCCTCGGATGAGTACCCCATTTTTTTTGGTCCTTGATTTCCTTTTGGAAACTAGAATCTTGCCAAGTCAACCAGCCTGATAAAATAATGCAGCTTCCTAAAAACAGTTCGTTGTATAATTGTAACAAAACTGATATGTATTATAAAATTGAATTGAGTGGTTTTTGACCTAGAAAATTCAGCATTAGTGAAAACATAGAATAAATGTCCTCTGTTTCTGAGAAACATCTATACTTTTTGCTGTGAACTGTCATGGCTATCAAAAGCCCTTGGTTAAAATTTATGGCAGGTATCATTTACTACACCAAAATGATTTTAAAACCAATTATGTAGCCCGGCATTGCGGCTCACTAGGCTAATCCTCCACCTTGCGGCGCCGGCACAAGACTTTGGATCTGATTGCACAGTATGCTTTTTGAGACATTCCTTATTTGATGGCTCAAATAAAATCAACTAGGTGATTGTAAACATGTTGAAACCTTTCCATTTGCAAAATACACAATGAGGTAGAAGAAAGAAGCTGTTATTGGAATGTCTTTTGAAAAGTAGAAATTAAATTCTATGACTCCTCTGTTATGTTTGATGCCATAGAGCACTAATTTAAAAACACTTAAAACTGCATTTTATTGTTTATCACCCATGGATTTTCTACTTCTCATGCTTCAAATATGAAAAGCAAAAATTTAGACGAAATTATTGTCTGGATATCTTTAGCACATCGCCCTGTGTTTATATAAGAAAACCAAGCTCAGTGTAATAAATTTTAAATAGGGATTTAACATTTAATTTCAATTCAGCAAGCCTTTATTGAATAACTACTGTCAAATGCAGTCATCCTTTTAAAAACAAGTACTTCTATTTCAGGGTTACTTGTTTCACCTCCCCTGAGCCATAAGGAAGACTCAAAAGGTGGTTTGCTGGAATTATTATATATAGTATTTTTTGGGTGAGACACAGCCCCTTAATGTCTGTGATTTGTTCACCTGAAAGAAAAGGGACCCAATCCAATTTGTTCTAGCAAACAAGGTACTGACAGTTTATTTCTGAACCCTTTCAGGCCAGTGATACATGTCTCGATGTGATTGGTGGCCGGGACATACCTGGAGCTAGGGTAGCCCTATGGACTGAACATGGGCAGTTGAGGCAGAAGTGGAGACTAAATAAAAATGGAACCATCAGCTCTTACCTCAGTGATCAACTTGTCCTTGATGTCAAAGGTGGGTCATGGATAACACCCAGTGCTGTTTATTTCCTGAATATCAGTTTAAGTTCCAAACCTCTTCCTCCTCCTAGGTAAAAGACCATCTCATGTATTAGAGAAGAAAATCATAGTCATTTTATAGTATGCTTGGAAATTGTTAGGATATGCAGTTCTGCAAACAGCTATTTGGATCAAGCAAAAAAAAAAAACTTAGGTGTAGGTTTTTGTTCATTGGTGCAGTTGTAAAGTTTTCCTTTGCTACATGGGCTCTGAGAAACTTTGACACCTGAAGCATCCTAAACCATAGAATAAATGTCCTCTGTTTCTGAGAAACATCTAAACTTTTTGCTGTGAACTCTCACAGCTATCAAAAGCCCTCAGTTAAAATTTATGGCAGGTATCAATTAAACTTGCTTGTGAATGCAACAAAGACAAGGCCAATATTACCCATGGCTATTGCTTTAATTGGTTTAGTCACAGCCACTGTTGGTGTAGGAAAAAAAATCACAGTACCTGACATTCAGCCAAAGTTCTGTCAAAGCACTTTGTTCCAAAGAATCACATTGTTAGGGATCAATGCTTATATGATCATGTATTATACCTTTTAATTTTTCAATTTGAGTCATGAGGTCCAATAGGAGGTGAGTAATGGCTAAGTCTGTTGGAACTCAGTTTCCCATCTCAGACTGCTTGTTTGTGTAGGACCAATTAATCTACACAGTGGGCTGAGCAAAAGCTTGTGAAAACTGTGAACTTGCTCAGCAGCTGCATGAACAAATAACCTTTTCTCTTGGAATTTCTGTTGTAGTAGGAAATTATTGTGACAAGACTCATGTCATTGTAAACCAGCCCCTGGAGGGAGAAACAACACAGCAGTGGGACATTGAAATATTGTGAGAATCAACACCATCCCTAGAAGGAGCAAAGGAAGAAGGAACCGCACATCCTTTGCCTTGTGCATGTGTGAAGGAAGCTGCTGTCAGCACATTCCTGTTGGGATCACTGAGCGGAATGAACTCTCTCCAGGTTCCATCCAAGACTGTTGCTCTTAACCATGGAAAAGCTCAAAATATCCTTGCCAGTTACTCAGTGTTCCTGTGAAGGAAATGTTACTATTTCTGGGAAAAATTCTCTCTTCCTGACTGATCTACAGTTGTGGTGAGCAAAGTTCCTGAAATCTCTCTTTTCCCCCCAGTCCACCAAACATGAATCCCTGCTAGCTGATTACAGGATACTGGTTCTGTCACCTGGGCTAGTTATTAACGTCCTACTACATGCTTGTATGAGTATAAGGAACAGGGAAACTAATTCCTGTGAGTCATACTTTTGCAAAAAGATGAGTAATTTTAGCACTATCTGCAGATTTATTTACTAAGCCTTCCTGTTAAGCTGCTGCATTAAACCCTGAAGTTTCTATGAGGCTTTTCTGATTGAAGCACCTCATGAATATTTATACTTGTAACTGCTCCTAGGGGAGGGACCTAGTTTTGTCAGGAAAAAGGCCCATGTATTGGAGTGTTTTCTGTGGTCATTGTTTCCTTAGCCCTTCTAGCTAAAAAAAGTACAGAGAACCTATGGCCAACCTTGCACTCTAACAGTGGTTACCGCCCTATTACTGTCTGAGCCCTAGATTTTGCCTGATCTGCCCTCAAGCAGAAGTGCCAGTCAACAATTTTCTTTGCCTGAAGTAAAGGGAAATTTCAAATTAAAACAAAGTAGCATTTGATTAATTTTTAAGTAAAGGTGGAGTTGGTTTCTTAACTAAAGGACAGAAAACTTAGTTTTACAATCCCATTTGAAATACCTTTCATTTAAGCAAAATCAGGTAAGAAATCATCTTTGACTTGGTTTCCATTAATCACCACCACTTGTACCATCACAATTCCCACACATTCTTCCTTCCTGAGTTAAACTTACATTGAGCCAGCAGTTCATTCTCTCCTACCTTTTGACAAAAAGCAGAAAAATGCTCTATTTTTATATAGAAAGAATAAACTCTGTGATGGTTTTTTCTAAAATATCAACTTATATGCACTTTAGAATGTAAAATAACAGTGAATGGTTAGAGACCCATTATTTTGAGTATTTTTATAGACTTGGTCTTTCCATGTAAATACTGGGTTTTTCCCTTAAATCTCAGGCTTTTCTCTTGTCATCTGTTAAGCAGCATCTGTAAAAGTCCCTTTCCCACAGATGTTGAGTGCCTCTCAATGGTGTGGCAGTATTATTTAATAAATCTTAGGTTACAGAGATAACTTTAACTGGTGAACATGTGTATAGACAAAGGTATGATAATTTCACTGTAAAAAACCAAGTTATGAATCTTTCTTCTTTGTGTTAATTGTTTAAAATTTTCCTAGAGCTAAGGAGGCTCTTTAAAGAAGTTGTTTCTTCCAAAGAACAAAGACAAGCCAGCATAAGGACGTTTAATTCTAAATGATACATTTATTGGAGTTGTGCCTTTTGTACCACACTGGATTAAATAAACTTGTTAAAAGTATGGTTTTTTCACTTTGAGGAATATTAATTTGCTGTTCTTTCTTTCCTATGCCCCTGTTAGCACATGGTAACAGGTGGGTCTCAAGTTCATAGAAACATAGGTAAGGAAAGTTAAATTCATGGTTTCAACTCTTAAAATGTATCCTGTGAATAATTATAGATCTCAGTTTTTTCCAACCAAGTGCCCTCATGACCATTCCTTCTACCTATTCTATTAAAACAACAGTAGCTACAAAACTATCAAGTCTTTACTTTTTCTTTAGAATGTACATATAAACAGAATTGGATTGTATAAAGGCGCTAGACTACTTGGATTAAACATTCGGTCCAGAGGGATAAGACCAGGCTTTCCTTTTCCTCATCTGTAGTAAGTTTCAGGTCCTTGACTGAAATAGCTGAACTGTTCCAGATTTGCTTCAGTGCCTCCATATGTGACAAAGGAAAGCGAAGTCCATGAGACTGCAAAAGGAACAATTAGGCAATTAAGTGGCACTGCCATTTAAACTTCCCCAATTCTTAATAGATTGATACCTTTCCTAATTATGAAATTTGTTTCAGGTAAGCTATTTTCATAATTTGCAAACTCCCATATGAAAGCTTAGATTTCATAAGAACCATTCTCCTTTATGTAGTAAGTGACAGAGGTCTTCTGAAATGCCTCACATTTATTATAGTACAGCTTTCCTGTGAGGCCATAGGTCCCAGTTACTATTTTAAAACTTGGGGTGTGTGGATCACAGCCCTGTCAATCATGTGAATAGTAAGTCTATTTATCAGCCACAAAAAGCAAACCTTTAAATAAAATGTTTCTTCTCAGTCACCACCCAGAGCACACAGCAAAGCCACTTGTGTTTAGCTGTAACAAACCTCTGTTTCCTCCTCACTTCCCATCATGTGTGTGTCTCTCTTATTCTTTAAGGAATGATAGATGTAAATCATCTTTTCTTGAGCTTCATCCTTTAAAAAAAAAAGTAAATACTGTAAACAATCTTTTGGGCAAAAAGTTAAGTTCTACGTATAAATGAGGATACTTTTTGAAAATTTTATGAGAATTAAATGTTTCTATTTTGGAGCAAAAAATTTTCAAGCCCAAACATCAAAGGAACTTTGGAAAATCTTAGTTTTTTTCATGATGTACATTTTCTATCTGTAGATTTCAAAATTTTTCATACCAAAATACACCTAATTCCATTTTCCTATGAACTGCTACTTCTACATAGCAATTAATGGGTGCCCTACATCTATCCGTTAGAGCATCTTCAGAAACTAGATTTAATTGAAAAAGTAACAATTTAATCATGAAACACTCCTTTTCATCATACGCATCAAAATGATCTTGATATCCCTAGTATAATTTGACAATTTTCTTAAACAATACCAGCTGTGTGATCTCTAAAAAAAAATTGTTTCAGTTACAGTAGTCTCTCCAATAGTTTTAACTTCCCTCTCCTTACCCACCCTCTTGGCCTGCAGTTCCACTTATCATATCTTCCAGAACCTTTAGTCATTCCTTGTTACCCCTTAGATAATTTGGTCTGACGATGTCTCAGACTAATTGATTATCTGAATAACAAGGATTTTTTTTTTAATAAAACATGGGAGTGTGTATTTGTGAGGTTTTATATGTATTATACACCAGGTATGGCCCTGAAGGCTAGAACATTGGTTAGGGAAGAGAGACACATAAGCGATCATTCTCAGCATTATCTCCAAAGAGAGTATGAGAGCAGAGTGAAGCGATGGGCTATGAGATAATTCCAAAAACCCACAGGATTGTACTCAAGAACTTCTACTAAAATATAAACATAGAGACTAACCCAGATCAGAGGAATCCCCAGAATTTAAAATTTTAAAACTTCACAGTTGATTCTATGATAGCCAATCAGTTTTTGGAACTGCTGGGCCAAGTGGCAAGATCATAGAATATAGATTTTTGTTAACCACATATATTTGATCTGTGCAGAGGACTCATGAACAGGGCCTGTAGCAGGATGGGAAGCAAAGGACAGGCATTAATCACAAAAGGAGAATGAAGGAGGGTTCAGTGGGGATGAGAAGGTTTCAAAAGGCCAACAGGCAGGAAAAGTCAGAATCGACACAGTGAGATTTGGGTATTTTTTGGGGTGACATGATGGCATTAACCTGTGAACACACATGGATTCCTGAAGGAGAAGAGCAGGAATCTCTGGCTAATCTGACAACCCATGGCTTGTGATGCAAATTCCCTGAGGAAACTTCCTCTGTGGAAAGATACTCACGGACTGGTCCTGATCTGGCCCTACTGTGAGGATGATGTGGTCTCTAAACTGCAGGCTCACTGTGCTGTCCAGTCGTGGTAACTCTCCACCTATAAAACCTCAAGGAAAAACCCAGCCTTCAGAAAAGGAAACCAGCAGCTTCAAACATGCTAGAAAGGGCCACTATTCAAGAAATGACAAATTGACTGCAAATTTGCCAGTGAATCCAAACAGCGCCCTCCCCAACACAAGTATTCACAAAGCCCAATTTGGTGTATTAACAAATACAGGTTATATCCTAGAGCTCATTCTTAGAGTGAAGGCAGACACACAATTTGCATAAATAAAGTTAATAAGCACACTAAATAGGTGTCATAAATAAGACCACTGAAGCCAGATAGTGATCACAAAAAGCAGGCCATGGTACCTTCTGCACAAAACACTCCTCCAGTTTCTGTCTTCTACACATTTTTTATTCCACATGTGCACTATGGAAGGGCCACCTGAGTTCAGACTGTACCACCCCACCAACTACCAGTTGTGTGACCATGGTAAATTATTCAGCATATGTAGGTCGCATCATCCAATAAGCTCACAGGTAAGAATCTACTATTTTCTAAATGGGATTTAACAGAGAAAAAGCAGCCACTGAAAACAGATTAACTGTACAGGGTCATGAGGATGGAGAAAGAGGCTAGAAGGATCATAACTTTACTGAATATACAGGGTCTTCTAAAAAGTTCATGGAAAAGGTGTATTGTTGGGGCTGGCACTGTGGCGCAGTGGGGTAAAGCCCTGGCCTGAAGCACCAGCATCCCATTTGGGCACCGATTCTAGTCTCAGCTGTTCCCCTTCTGATCCAGCTCTCTGTGATGGTCTGGGATAGCAATGGAAGATGGCCCAAGTCCTTGGGCTCCTGCACCCATGTGGGAGACCCAGAAGAAGCTCCTGGCTCCTGGCAGCTCCGACCGTTGCGACCATCTGGGGAGTGAACCAGCAGATGGAAGACCTCTCTGTCTCTGTCTCTCTCTATAACTCTTTCAAATAAATAAAATCTTAAAAAAAAAAGTGTATTGTGAAGAAAACCATGGATGGGTTTTAAGAAATTTTGCACCAAAACATTTTTATCATTCCATGTTTCTGCAAAGTTTAAAACACAAATTTACTGATTTGAAAGGCAAAGAATAGTATCTCCCATCCACTGGTTCACTTCTCAGATGCAACAGTGGAAGCTGGCTTAGGCCAAAGCCATGCGCCAAGAACTCGATCCAGATTTTCCAGTGGATGGCAGGGACCCAACCATGAGCTACCATCTACTGCCTCTCAGCAGGAACCTGGAATTGAGAACAGAGCTGGGACTTAAACTTAGGCCCCTGAATATGGACACAGGCTTGCCATTATGCCAAATGCCCACCTTAAAAACTTTTTGAAGTCCCTCATATAATAGTTAAGACAAGGAAAGCGTCAGATAATACGTTCTGGGGCATAAGCTGGTACTTGGCAAACTCTGCTGGTGAAACATTTGCTATTTTGAACATGTCCCATTAAAACTTCCAGGAGTGAGCATTTGGCACAGCACCTAAAACACCAAGACTCATCTTGCCTGCCTGGGTTAAGTTCTGGCTCCATTTCTGATTCCAGGTTCCTGCTAATGCACACCTTGGGAGGCAGCAGTGATGGTTCAAGTACTTGAGTTCCTGTTGTCCACATGGGAGACCTGGATTGATTCTGGGTTCCTGACTTCAGCATGCCCTTATCACAGCTATTGCAGCCATTTGGGGAGTAAAACAATAGATGGAAGACCTTTTTTGGTCTCTTTGCCTTTCAAACCAAATGAAAATAAAGTTGAAATAAAAATCTTCCTAAAAACTAATAAAAATATATACAGAATCAATCTTATAAGTGACCATATAGAGGCTGGTATTGTGGCACATCAGGTTAAGCCTTTGCTTGCAATCCTCCTCTCAGCTAATGTGCCTAGGAAAGCAGTGGAAGGTTGCCCACGTGCCTGGGTCCCAGCCACCCACGTGAGAGACCTAGATAGAATTCTAGGCTACTGGCTTCAGCCTCGTGGGCTATTTGGGACTACATCTCTGTTACTCTGCCTTTTCAATAAAATAAATCTTATAAAAAGATGACCTTATTGATTTTTTATCAGGTGAGAATCTGAAATAGACAAACTTAAAATTACTCTTCTCACTCAGCCCTCCTGAGAAGGGAAAAAAGACAACCCAAGAGCTGGCCTGGTCTTACTGTTCTTGTGCTAAACACAGACAAGTGCACCAAATACCAACATCAGACAACTCTGTGACCATCTCAGACCAAGACAAAAAACACCACCATAAACACATTTCAATTCCAGCTAAAACAAGAACAGCACATAGTATGATTTAAATATGGTTTGCCCCCACCAAAACACATACTGAGGTTTGGCTTTCCATAGGGTGATTAGATCATTAAGAGGGAATGATTGGCTTTTGTATTCCTAGCCCATCACTGTGCTCCTTTCACATGCACACTCTTCCCCGCTCTGCACTTCACCATGATATGACACAGCATATGGCTCTCACCAGAAGCTGAGTACATGCTAGCTTGACTTCCCTCACCTCCACAACTGTTCACCAAAATAAGCCTCTTTCCTTTACAAATCACCCAACCTCAGATAATCGGTGATGGCAACAGAACATGACTAAAACACTGTCCACAATAACCACACATCCCCTTCCCTGGCTAACATGAATGAGTGCTACTTCCATAACTTTAGCTTCAGACATTCCTCCTGCCTACAATCATAGAATTCCTTTTATTTTCTGATAGCATGGATCCAGAGCCAAGCTTCTGAACTCTCTCCAAAATTACCTAATCAAGCTCAACTCACATAAATCCTTTCTAATGCACTTTATTTATTTTTTTTTACAGGCAGAGTGGACAGTGAGAGAGTGAGAAAGTGAGAAAGAGAGACAGAGAGAAAGGTCTTCCTTTGCCGTTGGTTCACCCTCCAATGGCCGGCGCACCGCGCTGATCCGATGGCAGGAGCCAGGTGCTTCTCCTGGTCTCCCATGGGGTGCAGGGCCCAAGCACTTGGACCATCCTCCACTGCACTCCCTGGCCATAGCAGAGAGCTGGCCTGGAAGAGGGGCAACCGGGACAAAATCCGGCGCCCCAACTGGGACTAGAACCTGGTGTGCCGGCGCCGCAAGGCGGAAGGATTAGCCTAGTGAGCCGTGGCGCCGGCCTCTAATGCACTTTTACCATACTGCCCCACAGTTCCCAATGGTGTGCAGTCTTTTCTACTGCAACAAGTCAGTAAATGCAACTCTTGAGTTCAGGAATGTGTTCTTGGTGGTCTTTGCTACAGGACACTAACATCGTCCATCCAAGAGTGAATGATGTCATTTTATGTTATTGTGACAGCCTAAACCTGTCAAAATTAGCCACTGACTTGAAGATCAGTGATACCTTGGGCATTCTTGTATTTAATCTGCTGATGGCAACATTTTATCCATTCCTGCCTTAAATACAAGATTACTTCAATGTTCAAATTGTAAAACTTCCTAAAGATGAACACCAGAGTACTCAAAAGTACACATAATATTTCTCACCCCCCCCCCCCAAAGACAGGAATCTTATATCTCATCATGCTGCGATACAGGTTTTTTGCAAATGACTTGGGAGATTCAAGATGCTACAGGCTGAAGCAACAAATCTAGTCCAACCACACAGGCTAAGAACACATGTAGGTCCACATTAATACTAATATATTTCAAACTTTGATCTGCTCAAAAAGGAGCCCACCCAGGAAGGCCTCGAATATCCCACATTTGCCCCTAACCACCTAGAAGGGAAACAGCAAGTTGCACCTGGTATTGTCGGCTCTGTTCCATCTCCTACATGGTACGGGGGTAGCCTATGCATAATAAAATCCTTCTTCATGTCTGATGAAAGCAGTTCTTTGGTGCCTTCCAGCCGCTCTGCAAGCATCCTTAGGAAACCACTTAATCTTCTGGTTGCAACAGTTGTGCTTTCTGCCTGCTAGAAACACAAAGAACTGTGCATTCAGGTCACAGTAACACACAGCACTGCGTTCATTATGGAAATCACAGGGCTCGGGAGGCCAGCACAAGAGACAAGTGTGGCTCATCTGGGAAGAAGGGTTGTAGGGTCCTGACGAGGTAGGGCTTCATTGCCACTGGCCTTTTATTCCTCCTTACCAGGAGAAGTTGCCGCGGTATGCCAGCCCGCAATGCCACATCTTCCTTTGCAGCATCAAACACAAGCCCCGAAATGGTGTCCAAAAGGAAATCTCCCCATGAACTAGATTACGCATGAAGGAAAAAAAAACAGCAGTGAATACACACACACACACACACACACATATATACATATATATATATAAACTACTCATCATTAATAAACACAGAAGCTACACACTGGTTTCTGATATCCCTGTCCAGGAATTTTAACTTTCAATTAATTTCATATTACTCAGTATAAAAACCTAAGGTCTCCATCAACTTCCCTTCCTCCCCATTCCCAGAGACTCATTTGTAAGGTTAAAGGTGGGAAGCTGGGCTTCATCCATGATTTCTGTTAAAGATAGTAGAAAACTAACCTTACATAGTCCTAAGATGGGAAGCTTAAAGGACCAAATTTTGTTAACTAATGTGTATTTGGAAAGCTTCACGGGAAATTTTTTTATTATAAAAAAAAAAAAAAACTGATGTGCAAAAACATCTAATATAAACACATTTAAAGTAAGAGTGAGACCTCTGAACTGTGTAACTGAACAGTTAAATGTTGTTTTCCTCTGTTACTAATAAAGGAGGGAACCCATCCATCAGTAAAATATCCACCACCATCAATAACATCAGAAAAACATATCTCTGGTTTTACTGGGGTAGAATGTAGAAACCAATGGCCAAAACTAACATGTGGGGCTAAGTGCCAGTGTTCAATTACCTTTGCTCTTTCTGGGCTGAGTTAGAACTGGCTCATGCCAGAATGCATGCTAATCTAGGGCACATACTCTCCTGAAATACTTCTTAGCCATTCAAAATTTTCCTGTGTCACCAGTGGATCTCAAATTGGCAGCTATGTGCAAAATGGAAATTCACAGTGTAACTTCTGCTTCTCTCTCAGTAAGCAAAATTAACACTTGTATACTTCCTTCCCAGAAAAGTGGCAAAGGAAGACAAGTGTCACCTGAGAGCCACATTCCCCAAGACATCCTCTACCTGGCCTCACTACTTTGTCACATAATGCTTCTTGAACTTCCTTCTTTTTTCAAACTTCAACCTGGAAAACACATGCAGTTCTCAGGAACACAGTTACATGCTTCCTTTGCAGGGTTACAGAGGGAAGGCATATCTTAGAACCTTCCAAAATTTAAAAATAATACTTCTTAAGAGGCTTACTTTGTTAAAACAGTCAAATTAACTGCCTTCTGTCCCATACAAGTAGCTCCAAATGCTTCAACCACACAAACTTAACAGGGGTTAGGGAGAAGCCCCAAATCCTCATCCAACCACGGTAGCTGAGGGAGCACCACCAGGCTCAGGGCACAGCAGCCTCTCTGGGAGGCACTGGTCCTCGAGGTACATTTTGCCCATTCTTGCTCCAGCACCACCAAGACTCACATCCTTCCTTCGCAGTGCTCATCCAAAGCCCTGGTCAGCAACTTGTTAACACAGAAAGACCTTCCCCAGCCCCAGGTGACTAGGGAAGGGTGGGTGGGACCCAGGAGCTGGGAAGGAGAAAGAAATGCAGGTACTTAACAGCAGAAGCAAATGCTAGTGGATTGAGTGAGAAAAAAGGAGGGTTAAGGATGAACAGATGCTGGCTCACAATGAGCCTAGGTGTGAGTGAACAGAAGCTGAGCAAGTAAGGGAGGATGCATTAGAAAACCCGTTGGTGACAGACAGACAGATGAGACATGCAGAGCACGAGGGGTGGCTGGCAGCACTAATGACAGACACTGAAAGCTGCAAGGTCACTCACAGGACCAACTGTGAGGCTGCCAAGGTCCAGAGTGAACTCTGGTCTCCAGCCCCTCTGTCACCTAGCCCTTCTACGGTTCCCAGGACTCACTCCCTCGTTTGTTCTTGTTCTTCCTAAGCTGGCTTCAGTGTCATTCTGTTCATCAACTTTGCAGGGAACCAAACTAGCCACAGTGACAAGGGTATTTTTCAAAAGAGAAGTCTAGTAACACAAGCGTGGCCTTCTTCTACCTGTGGGCAAAGACAGCACTGACCTCAGACCAGGCTCAACTAGTTCCTCCACTAAGTTTCCTAGGCACTGGCGTGAATTTCATACTGAAAAGTCACATGAGCAAGCAGAGGTATGCTCACTAACCTGTTTTTCAAGTTAGGGCTTTGAAGGCAGGAAGGAACTTGCTGCCCCTTGGGCCTGGAATGTCCTCTCCTGCACTGACCTTCTGACCCACCCCTGCTGACTTGTCCTTTAAGACTCACTGGGTTTTGGTGTCAAGTCATTTCTGAAACTTGTCCTGATGCCCAGCTTAGCTAACTTAAGTGCATTCCTCTATGTTCCAAGAAGCTCCTTGCAGGCCTCCCACAAAATTTATCCCACTGTTTGGTAACTGCTGACATGTCCGTCTCCCATCCTCTCACGACTTCTAAAGCACTGGTTTCCCCAGAGCCCCAGCAACTACCACAGAGTCTAGTGTGTGTCTGAAATTAACTAATGAGTGCTATTTTTTAAAATGTGATTTGGGGCTGTTATTTTTGGAAATAACTCTTACAAAGCCACCGCCCCATACTTGTCATGTGATAAGGCACTTGTTGAAACAGAACATAACTTTAATGGGAATCGTTTCCAACACATGCACGTGCTTCTTGTTCCCATTGTTCACGCTGCCTTTCCTACTTTAATTTCAAGGACTACAAAAAGTAGAGAACAAGAGATTTCGACTGCCTCTACCAGGGGTGCTGAAGACATTTGGAAGCAAAGAGCAGTGATGGTGGCTTCATGCGTCATGCAGCATGAATATAATTCATGCCAACAAACTGTACATTTAAAGAGGGTTAAAAATGGCTATGTTATGTGATGTTGTTATCACAATAATAAATAAATGGGGGGGGGGACTGCAAGGCCAGCTTTGCATCACTGACACACCCACATATCCACAGCTATAGTTTTTTTCTTTCCAAACCATGGGACTCTATTTGGGCAACTCCCAGGATCGTTAATACAGTGAGAGTCATGACTTGCCCAGGAAGAAGTTCAAGCGGGCCACTCAGCACCTGGGTCATCAAAAGAATCTGGAAGTCAGCATGGGAGACAGAAGCCCTGGGGTCTGGATGCAAGCTGCTGGCCAGCTCCCTTGTGTCCCTTGTGAACATGGCTGCTGTGAGCCTTAACTCAGAGCTATCCTAGGATGCTGGGCAGGGAGGCAGTGGTTACTTGTTCTGGTAGGTGCTGATGGTCACGTGAGTAGAGTGGGCCAGCCCTGGAGGAGTGTCCGCCTGATGAATGGTCCCTCTGGGAAAGTATAACAAATCTCCTGGCTGAAGGAGAAAAGGGGAGAAGAGGTTAGTAAGCCCACCTTCACAGTTCTCTTTGTTGTACAAAGATACATTTCAGCTTTGAGCTTCCGTTCCCCATTCTAGAAACGTCAGCTTCACAGGGCAGTCTGCATGCTGAGTTCATGTGGTATCCAGCTAGCCTAGCTCTACTCTGTCCTCCAGCTTATCAGCATGAACCACAATCTAGCAGAGGCTTTCACAGTACCAGAAGTCACCACCCCTCTTCTCAAGCTGAGACCAGAAAAACTTGCAACTACCCAGCCCTGACTCAAGGCAGATGGCATCCTGTGCCTGGGAAACCTGCTTCCTGCCTCTCAAATTCTGCAGTGGTTAACAGTAGAGTTTCAGAGCTTCACAGTCACGGCCTCTTACTGGCCAATGATCTAGAAAATGTACTTCATAGCTCAAAGCCTCAGTTTCTTTACCTGTAAAATGGAGAGAATGGCCCCAAACCTTACAGGCCTATTGTGACGATTAAAGATGATGCTGTTTCCAAAGCTCTTGGGGCAACGATGGGTGTGTGGTTGTTCATTATTTTACCTACCATCCCCTAACCTCCTCTTCATTTTCTAGCTCTTCCAGGCAGGGTCTGTTTCTCATACATCTTACATTCCCAGAGCCTAACCTAGCACCTTGCACACAGCCTAGACCAATAAATGTTTAGATGAATGGATAAAAACTGTAAAACTCCTATTTGAACATAAAATATGAAACTAAAGATGGGTCATTTTCTGAGGCAGCTGAGTTTCTTCCAACCTATGCCTTTTTTCTTCCAAGCTGGTGGATTGAAATGGTGCCCCCAAGCTACTCCTGCCCTGTGCTTCCTCTTCCCTGTTCCCACCGAAACCTATGGGTTCTACATAACAAGTGCCTCAGGAGAGGAGGGACTCTTGAGCTGCCCCTCTCCCATCTGCAGCTCAAGAGTTAAGACCATCAGTCCTGGAAAGAGAAATCAAGAACTCTCATCCTAAAATAACTAAGATCTTCCTCAAGACAGGGGGCAATACAGGGTGCTTTAATAATACAGGGTGCTTTAATAATTTTGTAGAAAAATGGAATTAGAAGTTTATTAGCCGGCGCCGCGGCTCACTGGGCTACTCCTCCGCCTTGCGGCGCCGGCACACCGGGTTCTAGTCCCGGCCGGGGCACCGGATTCTGTCCCGGTTGCCCCTCTTCCAGGCCAGCTCTCTGCTGTGGCCCGGGAGTGCAGTGGAGGATGGCCCAAGTGCTTGGGCCCTGCACCCCATGGGAGACTAGGAGAAGCACCTGGCTCCTGCCTTCGGATCAGTGCGGTGCGCCGGCCGCGGCGGCCATTGGAGGGTGAACCAATGGCAACGGAAGACCTTTCTCTCTGTCTCTCTCTCTTACTGTCCACTCTGCCTGTCAAAAAAAAAAAGTTTATTATAGTGCAAAAACTTTGAAATCCAAACACAGTTTAGTAATTCACATCTTCCATGGACTTTATGAAGACTCCAGGTATAAATGGCTATCAAAATGTTTTTGCACCAAAAGAAACATCAAAATTATTTATTGGGAGGTAAAGAGAGAAATACAGAGAGTGAACACATGCTCCCGTCTGATGTTTCACTCCCCAGATGACCTCAACAGTTGAGGGCCAAAGTTGGGAATTCAATCTTGGTCTTCATTGTGAATGGCAAGAACCCAAGCATGTGCATCATCACTGGTGCCACTCGGTGTCTGCACTGGAAGGAAGCTGCAATCAGGATCTGGGTCTGAAGCCCAGATGCTCCAGTACAGTTATGTAGACATCCCAACTGGTGTCTCAACAACTATGCCAAATGCTTGCCATTCAACTTGCTTTAATTCCATTTCTCCAAGAACTTTTTGAGTACCCTCATGACTATCATTCACTAAATGACACTGACCAATGCCCTCAGATATACACCTGGTTCACTCCACGAGCACTGACCCATGCCCCGTCCCTTGCTGGAAAGAGAAATGAATCCATCTTCCTCCCAGGGCCTCCAGAAGGAACACAGTGCTGCCAACTCCAATCAGATCCAGTCTGGACTTCTTACTTCCAGAACCATAAGACAATAAATTTCTGTCGTTTTAACTCATGCAACACATCACACTAATACAAAGAATTTGATCATAAAATCAAAGTAATAGTTTTACAATCTGTAATTTAATAAACAGGAAACTAAGACTCTGATAATACCCCACTTTAGGACATGCAGCTAGTAAGTGACACCAGCTGAATTCAAACCCAGCTGTGTCAGAATGCAAGAACAGTGTGGCATTTCCATTACAGAGAAGTCTTTACCCTGAAAGCCTAGGTTTGGTAGACATGTGGCACAGGCTACACTGGATTGGTGGGAAAAGGGTGAAAAGGCTTCCAGACCCTCACTGTGGGCCCCACGTTGTGCCTCCACCAGAGGGACTCAGTTTCCTATGGCATATATGGGGCACTTGCACATAACCTCATCTGTAAAGGTCCACCAATGGAGACCACACATGAGTATGCACATACACACTTGGAAAACACAGCACTGCACCACACTTTCTCCTTCCAGGAGACTCAGGGCTCCTCTCTGAAGCACTGTGTAGTACCTGAGTGTCTAATGGGCATCTGCTTCCTCTCCTCCAAGTCAAGGCAACAGCACAAAGCATCCACACCCACGACACTTGAGGACCACGATAAACCCTCAGCTTCTCAGGCAGGGCATGTAACCAAGTCATCAGCCCAAGAATCTCAGCTCTGGAGACCACAGACATCTTGTCTCAGCCTTTAGCTTATGAAGAGTAAACCAAGAAGTCTATGGAAACATGCTTCACCAAGAGCAGAGGTCAGTACACTCTCTCTGTGAAGGGCCAAATATAGAGAGTAACTGTTTTTGGTTTGTGGACCCTGAGGCCTTGGGGCAGCTCACTGACTCTGCTGGGGTGGCAGGAGTGCACAGAGTGCACACTGGGGAATAGGCAGGACTGTGCTCCGTGAACCTGATTTACAACAGCAGGCAGCAGGCCAGATTCTGGCCCACTGACAGTGGTTGGGTCACTGCTGACCAAGAGCATAAAACAACCAAGGTAGTTACAGTTACTGGTCATCTGTTAGTGGAAGTCCCCTGTGATACAGGCACCACCTGAAGAAGGGAGACTGTTTCTCCCAGTTATTGGCAGGCAAGCAGACTTTAAAATCAAGAAAGACAAGATATTAAGAATTAGACACTATTACTTCAAGATGCAAGAAACAGAAAAACAGTAACATATGCAAACACATCAGACCGGTAGAATCTTTGGAATGATTTGAGTCAACTACTGTTTTCTTGCCACTACAGGAAATTAAACATATTTTTAAAGAAAGGGAATAAAAATTAATTATGGAGCTATTCCTCTCCCATTCGGTTTTTTCTTAACACTCTCTCCTGCTGGGAACAGCTATGTTCCCATGCAGGCCAACTACTCTAAGACAGGTTTTTCTCAGCAGCAAAAAGCCAAGAAACCTGCATAGCATCAAGGCACCTGGCTCCCTGGAGGAGGTGCTTTCATAATTACGTCTCTTCTGATGACTACCTGCAGGGGCACAGACAACTGCTACATAATCGGGAGGAAAATGGGTCATATGGGAATTGTAGCAAGAGAAAAACTAAGGGAGTCCTAGTTGTGCTCTGCTTCAGCAACTTACAGACCCATGCTATCTTCTGTCTTATATGTGGAGAAGCTGCCCCAGGACAAACCTTCCACTTTTACCCTAAAGAAGTCAGTGGTTCACTGAAATTCAGTTCATCCCTGTTGACTTTGGATCATGCATGGGGACAAGTTACTTGGAAAAATGAACAAAATACATCTCAGCTCACTGTGCTAAGCACAAACCACCAAGGCTCCTTCAGAAACTGAACGTGATGGTACTAGTAACTGCAATGAAGAGCCTCCTGCCCCAAGACCCACAGGTTCACTCCCATGGGGATCCTACACAAACTCTAAACCATGAACCTGAAGCTGTCCTAGCAACATAGAAAACCCAACTCAGAAGAGGTACCCACAACAGCCAGCCCATACCTTCAAAGTGAACTCATGTGTCGGCCTTCCAATCCTATCCTCGGCCTCCACGCTGTACTCCCGAGCCAGAGGCACTGTCGGGTGGTACAGACGCCAGTGTTTCTCTCCTTCCAGTTGCAGGATAAAAACCTATAAAAAGCCAAAAGTCCTGGGAGTATCAGAGAGCTTCCTGACAACTGATGAGCTAAGTGCTTCCAGAATACTAGCCCTGGAAGAGCAAGTTTCAGATAAAAAATACAAATGAAAGATCAGACATACAAGCCAATATAACACTTAATTTAAGTTGCCACACTAGTTTCCATTTTGAAAATAGGTAATCATGAATACTGATACTGGATCTTCCTTCTTGCAGTTTCTTAGAGCATTGCCTAGTTCTTTATATCCCACCATCTCATTCCTTTAAATCCTCTATCAGACAGCTGAAAGCTCATAATCTCTGACAGGAAAGCTGAGCTTCAGACATTACTGAATGGCTAAAACCCTGAACATTGAAAGGGCTTTGGCAGACAGGAAAACTTCAAGTTTCTTATTCTTTATTCTGCCAAGTATATTTTACTGCCCTAATAGAAATATTTTATAAAAACTTTTGGAAAATATTTTGTTATCAAATAGCTCTCAAAGGGGAAAAAAGGAACTTTTTAGTAGTAACTCTATGTTCACACCTTGTGTTAGTACAAAAAGTAAGCTATGAAATACCTAAGCTGAAGAGTTGACTTTTTCTGGATACCACATGAGCGAAATCAACACTTGTCTTGGTGCCAGTGCTTAAATGAAACCAGGACCTTCATTCAAACTGCTTCAAGATTTTCACAAATGGAACAAAATGCATATTTTTGGCAGCTACTGAAGAGCAAAATGAAAGCAGATGGAAGGATAATTCGTGACCTAACCTTATTAAGGACCAGAGTTCGTGAAATTAAAGAGGCCAATCTCACTTTCCTATACATGAAGCCAGTGGATACTTATTTCAAAGAAATGTGTGGTTCCTTATATTAGTGAGGATGGAAACAATCTCTCCCTTGAGAAGCAGCAGGAAACCAGTTTGGTGTGATTTTCTTTGGCCCAACAGTTAGAGGAGACTGGGCATAAAGAGCGGACCCAGGCCCTACCTAAGAGAACAGGAACCGACCCTGAGAACTCCACTGCTCTGGACTCACAGCCACTCCTGTCTCACACCAGGCACCTTTCTTCCTCTCTTACCTCGACATCATCATAGTGGGGTGGGAGGCCCTGAGATCCGGCAGGGGTTATATACACATTCGAGCCAACCAAGGAGCCGAAGTAACATTCCAACTTCTCCTGGATCCTCCAAAGCTCATCCTAAAGAAAGGGGAAAAAAAGGAAAAAAAAAAAAAAAAAAAAGGACAAGGGAGAAAAGTGAAAAACGCATTAGAAATAAAAGACACTATCTTGATCACTTAGGGAATCTTTAGTGCACAGCTATTGTAGGCCATATACTTAGAATTAAGCAGAGGACAAGCCCCATACCTCTGCCCTCAAGAATCTTCCATTCTAGTGGAAAAGCCCCATGGGAAAGACATGAGCATAAAAATGAGACTGGTAGGGCAGGCAACAGGAGGTCAGGAAGGATTTTAAGCAGAATGGCTGATCCGGTTTTAAAATCTTGCTATGGCTACTGTGGGGAGAATGGGTTGTAGAAAAGCAGGAGTGACAAGTCTGGGTGCTACTGAGAGTGGGAGAGGGGTAGAGAGAATCAGAAAAGCCAGGATGCATCCAGAAGCAGCACTGCAAGGACACTCTGGATGAAAGAAGGGGTCCAGAAATAGGAGGAATAAGAACATATTCCTAGGATCTTGGCTGGGGCTATTAGCTTCCGGGTTCCACTAAAAAGACTTGCTAAAAAGCAAGTTTTCAGGAAGGGGAAAAAAAAGATCTACAGCAGAAATGTTAAGTCTGGGGTGCTAAGCATGAAGTTCTGGCAGAAAGTAAAGGCTGCATGGGGCTGGTGCTGTGGCATAGCGGGTAAAGCAAACACCTGCAGTCCCGGCTGCTCCACTTCCGATCCAGCTCTCTGCTATGGCCTGGGAAAGCAGTACAAGATGGCCCTGGTCCTTGGGCTCCGGTACCTACGTGGGAGACCTGGAAAAAACTCCAGGCTCCTGGCTTCAGATCAGTGCAGCTCCAGCCATTGCAGCCATGTGGGGAGTGAACCAGTGGATGAAAGACCTCTCTCTCTCTCTGCCTCTAACTCTGCCTTTCAAATAAATAAATAAATCTTAAAAAAAAAAAAAAAAAAAGGGCTGCAGACTAACACGGGGAAATGCCTACACACAGTGGATATTTAAAGCAATGGGAGGGGCCTGCGCTGTGGCACAGTGAGTTAAGGCCCTGACCTCCAGCACTGCATCCCATATGGGCAGTGTTCTGATCCAGCTCCCTGCTAAAGTGCCTGGGAAAGCAGCAGAGGTTGGCCCAGGTCCTTGGGCCCCCACACCCTCGTGGGAGACCCAGAAGAAGCTCCTGGATCCTGGCTTCAGATCGGCTTGGCTCCAGCCATTGTGGCCATTTGGAGAGTGAACCAGCGGATGGAAGACCTCTCCCTCTCTGTCTACTTCTCCCTGTAACTCTTTCAAATAAATAAAATAAATCTTAAAAAAAATTTTTAAAAAAGCAATGGGAACATAAATTGATAACCCAGAAAGAGGGTATAGGCTGAAGGAAGACAGAGAACGTCTACAGAGAGGGAAGAATAGAGCCAAGTAATGTTCCCTCTCTAATCACATCAGCTTTCCAGGGCTCCCGTCAGACTGAAGGGACTAGAGAAGAGCTGCACAGACCTATGAGAGAAAGAGATCTGGTTTTTCCAAGGTAGATGAGAGGAGGGGAGGTAGCAAGCAGGCTATGCAGACACTAGCACTTCCTATGTGCCAGGCACTGCTTCTAAGTAAAAGACATGATGTAGCCAGATTCAAACCCAGAATGCCTGGCCCCAGGGTTCATATCTTTAAGAAAATTTAAGAAAAGACAAATCACAAAGGACACTAAAGAGAACAAACTTCTATCTATGTGGGTGCATAGTGCCTGGCACAGAAGACATGACAATATCATAAAAAATATTTGCCAAGCAAACCATTGACCATGGCTTGGGGTCAATTCTACCAAAGGACTAAAAAAGGATCTTTAATATTAAAAATACCAGGTAAGAAAGTATTTGGTCAGTACGAACAAACTTTTATGAGACATCTTTATATAGTCCAGTGGGCTTCTATATTTATAGATTTTAGAGTTTCCGCTTAGCACAGGAAAAATAATTTAATGGTATCCAAGTAGCTCCAAACACTTATCAGAGCTCCCAAGGAGCCTAACTTATTTCAGGCAGAGGCCAGTGGGACCTGGTTCTGTAATTATATTTATACAGTCCTTGGAACCACCAAAAACCAGGGTTCACTCTAAGTCCTTCAGGACTGTACGGGTGACCTTTTGGCTCCCAACTGAAGCATCAGGACACATAACTGATAAATATGTCTTTTTTCTTCTAAAAAGTTACCAAAAGCACTTTCAATTGTACAATTCTCCAGTTTCTCCTGGAACTTCAACTTCTGAATCTGCCAAATGAGGCTGCTAGAGAGAGGTTTAGGGTCAATCCACAGGGGCCAAGCTGTAGTAACAAGAGAAGCGACTTCCTTAGTTTCCTTAGTTATAAGCTGAAGATATTACCGCTCCCACCCTCAGACTGTGGGGAGCAGCATGAAACCACCTGCCTTGAATCCAATTCTCTTAGAGCTGCAAAGCGGTACACAAGTGCCACTGCTTCCCCAAACTAAGCCCAGGGCTCCTGAGATCTGTCTTTACTGTGTGACTCCCAGCTATGTCCAGAGATAGGGAGGAGAACTCAGAGCAGTCAATCCAGGCAAGTGGAAGTCTATCTCCTGGCTGTGTATAATCACCTCTCCACTTCCCACCCTACAGAATCAAAACTGAATGCTATGGCAAAGGCCAGAAGGCCAAATGCTTAGTCAAAGGCAAACACACAAAATGTTCTTCAACACTTCAAAGAACATCTTTCAAAGTATAGCAGTAAAATGCCTCAAATCTGGACTCCGTTATCCGTACCAGCTTAAAAGCTATGCAAAAATCCCATCTGTGAACGCGTTTTTCCACATGAGATGGAGACCACAATGGCAGCCCTATTTTAAATGTGAAATGTGGAAGGTCCCACACTTAACACATATGAAAGTGTGTGGTGAACTATAGCGTGCTATAAAAAATGAAAATAGTCATCACTATTCCCCTCACCCCGACCTCTTTATGGATTATCCAAAACATATGGGGAATTTTTTATGGCTCTCTGGTTACTTCCTTGCTCATTTCAGACTAACTACACTAATGGGGTATACACAGCCTAAAACCCCCTAAACAAAGGACTAACTGCTCTACCAGTCTTAACCTGGACACTAAGGTTTTCTCTATTCTGATGCAAATATACCCATTCCCACACACAAGGAGCACTAACTCTCCTCATGCTACAGAATTTAGAACCCAGGGTCTAGCATGGCAGGCTGAGTACCTACAGCTCACAGGTCTCCAAGGGCAAATGGTCCATGAGGGACCATAACAAGATGTGTCCCAGTCCAGTCTGGGGGCTGAATTTGGGCTGAGGAAGCTCATCCTTCCTTGTCCGATAAAGCTGACCAAAGAGCAAAGTCAACAGAGCAAAGGAAATGGGTTCCTGGCTACCCGGAATCTTGGAGGAGGAATATGCAGGGCTTAAATGCACAAGCAGAGAAAAGCACCGGGGCAAAGGATTCTAAAGTCATAGAAACCGGGGGCTAGTGCTGTGGCGCAGCTGGTTAAGTCACCATTTGGAATGCCCACATTCTGTATCAGAGTGCCAGTTCAAGGCCCAGCACTCCACTTCTGATCTAGCATCCTACTAATGCATCTTCAGAGGCAGTGTATGATGGCTCAAGTGCTTAAAGCTCTGTCACCCATGTGGGAGACATGAATGGAGTTCCAGACTGCTGGCTCTGGCCTGGCCCAGCTCTGGTTGCTGCAGCCACTTGGGCAGTCAATCAGTAGACAGAAGACCTCTCTTTTCTCTCTCTCCTTCTGTTGCCCTGCCTTCAAAGAATTAAGTAAATAAGCTGGAAAAAAAAAAAAAAAAAACACACACAAAACCTCACAGAAGTGGCAGCCACAGAGGACCCCACATGAACACCAAACAATTAGTTTCTACCAGTTTATGAGTAAATTACATCAACTTCACTGAAACCCTGTATTATCACAGATCTTAGGTTTCTAAAAACATCTTAAAAGTGTACTAGAGGGTGAGCATTGTGGCATAGCAGGTTAAAACACAAGTTGGAATGGCTGTAATCCATGCTAGAATGCCTGGTTCAAGTCCCAGCTCCTCCACTTCCAATCCAGCTTCCTGATAATTCATCTGGGAGGCAGCAGATAATGGCTCAAGTGCTTGGGCCCCAACCCCAGTGCAAGAGACCTGGATGAAGTTCCTGACTCCTGGCTTCAGCCTGGCCCAGCTGTTGTACCCATTTGAGGAGTAAGGCAGAAGACAGAGGATCTGTGTGTGTGTGTATGTGTGTGTGTGTATGCCTTTCAGGTAGATGAAAATAAAAATAAACATTAAAAAAAAATCGTTCCACTTCTAGTCAGGTAAAGAGTTGAGGCCTAGTTCAGAATCATTTTATCCATGATGTGTGTTTTCTGAATTCAAATCATGATTCAGTCTGACAAATAATTTCTAAATCCTTTTTGGGTGCCATAACCAAAATGTTAGCATTTTCAGGACATTTTAACTTATGATTGCTTCAGATGGAGTAACTGGAATCAGGATTTGCCTTGAGAGATTTTAGCATATTTTATTCATCCAGATGAGAAAAGTAGAGGCATCCAACACAAGCCCTAAGAGGCTCTAACAAGCAGCTCTTGAGTTGAACCATGGCAACACAATTGGGAACTGACACAGACTCAGGGACTAGCAATATGAAGGGACTTCAAAAAGCTTATGGGAAAATGGAATTAAAAAATGAGTTTATTTTGGTGAAAAACTTTCGAAATCCACAAATAGCTGTTTCATAATCTGCAATTTCCCATGAACAATGTGAGGACCCCTTGTGTCAGAATTCATTCCTCTCGACATGGACCCTCACTAGCCCCTTTCTCCAACAATGCTGCCATTCTGATTCAGCCATGAGTCACAGAGGTGGGTTTCTGAGTGGAGATAAAGCTTTACCTAAAACTCAGAACAGGTCCTCAACTGTTCTGGGCCATCTGCCATGTAAAGATTTCAAATCTCTAGAAAAGAAGACTAGCTCATGTTAAATCTGCATTTCACAAATATAGAAACTGAGCAGAGGAGATGAATGTCAATCACTGATACAAAATAAACCAATATTTTTTTGAAAGATTTATTTGTTTAAAAGAGTTACAGAGAGAGATCCTCCATCCGCTGATTCACTCCCCAAATGGCCGCACTGCTGGAGCTGTGCTGATCCAAAGCCAGGAGCCAGGAGCCTCCTCCCGGTCTCCCACATGGGTGCAGGGGCTCAAGGACTTGGGCCAACCTCTACTGCTTTCCTAGGCCACAGCAGAGAGCTGGATCGGAAGAGGAGCAGCTGGGACCAGAACCTGCACCCATATGGGATGCCTGCACTTCAGGCCAGCGCGTTAACCTGCTGTGCCACGGTGTCAGCCCCATAAACCAAAACTTTAAATAAATTTTTAAATTAAAATTTTATTATTGTGTTGGAAGTCTGGCATAGCAGTTAACACACTGCTTGAAACACTTATATCCCTTATCAGAATGTCTGGGTCCAAATCCCAGCTCTGCTCCTAATTCCATTTTCCTGTTAATACACACTCTGGAAGGCAGCAGGTGACAGCTCATGTACTTGGGTCCCAGACAACTATGTGGGAGACTCATTTTAAGTTCCTGGCTCCTGACTTCGATCTGGCTGTTTCAGGCATTTGGGGAATGAACCAGAGGAATGAAGACATTCTTTCTCTATCTGCTACTCAAATCAGTGTCCTAAATATTTGTTAAAATGTTTTAAGAATCTGAACTCAAAAACCAAAGCTATCTTCCACTCATGATTGCCTCACCAGGAGCAGTTCCAGAACTGTGCCCCTCATTATGACTGGTTTGGCTTTATAAGGGTTAAGTCCCTTTACTGAACCCAAACTTCGTATGTGATCTGAAGCATCCACTTACATACCCAGATGTAGGCAGTAAAAGGAGGCAACTTCAGGAACACAATCACCTTGATGCTAACATGCCTTAAATTACAACAGGACAAACCAAACAGTAGTGTCTACCTTATACATAACCATAAACCAGCCCTCAAATCATGCTCCTAGAGGTATAATGCTACTTTAATAACTTTCTAAACTTGCAATACAATGTAGCTTCTGGAGCTCAATGACCTCTAACAAGGTCCAACCAAGTTCCTGGAGGTTCTAACCAAGAAGTATTCAGGAATCTCCTATGTCAGAATGTGCTTAAAGAGAAACAGGAGAGGCCTGTGCCATGGCATGCGGATAAAGCCACTGCCTGCAGTGCTGGTATCCCATATTGGTGCCTGTTCGAGTCCCACTGCACCACTTTCAATCCAGCTCTCTGCCATGGCCTGGGAAAGCAGTGGAAGATGGTCCAAGTCCCTGGGCCCCTATAGCCATGTGGGAGACCTGGAGGAAGCTCCTGGCTCCTGGCTTTGGATAGGCACAGCTCCAGTCATTGCAGCCATTTGGGGAGTGAACCAGCAGATGGAAGATCTTTCTCTATGCCTCTGCCTCTCAAATAAATAAATAAATAAATCTTTTAAAAAAAAAGAGAGAGAGAAGCAGGATCTCTGTAGCATTTGCAAACTGGCAGGCAGCTTCATCATCATCATCATCATCATCCCACATATTCACCCTTAGAAGATCTGAGGCCAAATGGGCCAAATGTTAGCCTTTAATACACATGGGAATTCTGTGGTGGTGGGGGAGCCCATTACCTTAAATCTCTGAGGTTGATGAAACTGAATGGTAGCCCTTTTCTGATCAAAATCTTTCCTCAGTTGAAGAAAGTGAGCTTTGCCATCTTTATTTAAGACTTTCTTCTTCCCATTGACACATCGGCAGACATTCACATCTCTTCCATAGTACATACCCCGGCTGCACAGACTCTTCAGATCTGTGAGCCTGAACAGGGACTGGTAATAGGTGGCCAGTGCAGGGTCATCTCTCTGGATGAGAAGGGGCTTCTGCTCCCAGAATTCCTTAAAAAAAGTGTCTATCTTGACCGGTGAGATTAGACTTTCAAAGAGATCATGGGGGCTGTCAAAGTTTAAAGTGGAAAGGCCATCAGCCACCTCCACCTTCACCCGTTTACAGGGAACAGGCCCCTCTTCCTTCCCATTTCCTGCAGGCCTTGCTTTCTTTGGCATCGCTGTATCTTCAGACCAGGCAAAGAGGAAATGAAAACCTACCAAAGGAACAAAATACATACGGTTAGGTTTATAAGAAGTGCCAGTATCTGTGTTAGTGGATCATATACACACACAACGCACATGACCAGGACAACTTTGTTACTTCCTCCAGGATGTGAGACAGCCTTACGCCAATGTCCTTTCTTCCAAGGTATGATTCAGCTTCAAGCACCACTCAGATTACATATTCACCTAAAGGAAAACATCTTTCTCTTGTACACAAGCACTAAGTCATTATTTATAAGGAGGTATAATTATCCCAAATTAAACTGCAGCAGCAATGTCTAGTCAGGTTTAGTCTATAGCCATTGACACCACAAAGTCAAAAATCTTGACTTTGGCTATAGTCAATATCAGATCTGAAACCTAATTAGATGCACTCTAAGTCACACACATTTGACTGGAAAATGACCAATAGTTGCTCACTGACAGGTTCTCCTCCCTCCAGCATCATCCCCAACAGCTGTTCAGGAAAAAGCCAATGAGCACTGGACCTGTGGTGTCACCTGGTGGCTGGAGGGAGAAGCTGCCTGCCTCCCAACCAACCACCTGAGCCTCCTCACTTCCAAACTAGAACTCATTCATGAAAATCGCCACATTATCAGAACCACCCCCCCTCCCTGCCCCACCCCTGCCGCCCTACCTCCACCTTAACAAAATTAGTAAGAACTTACTAAGGGCTGAAAATCGAAGGCCAAACCTTTAAAAGGCAGTGACTTTTTAACTGAAATAAGACATGATAAGATGCAATCTCAGACACAAGTGCTTTTCCAATTCGAATGTGCACAGATCAGCTGGGCATCTTGTTCCAGTGCAGGTTACGATTCACTAGCTCCACGGCAGGGCCTGAGAGTCTGATTTCTAGCAAGCTCTCACATGATGGTGCTGTTCCTGGTCCACGGCATGTTTCTGAGGAGCAGCAGGAGCAACACTCCCAAGGCCTCTTTCAGAACTGCTCCCGACCCACACTCACAATGGAGGCCTGCCTCTTCTGGGTAAAAAAAACTGCAACTCAAATTACTTAACTTTCTTGAAACTACAAAATACAACTTATCTGAAAGGCAGGGAGAGAGTGAGAGATTATCTCCCATCTATTGGTTTACTCCCCAGATACCTGCAACAGTAGAGGTTACATCAGCCTGAAGCCAGGAGCCTGGAACTCCATCCAGGACTCCCTCATGGGTGGCAGGCACCCAGGTTCTTGGGCTATTACCTGCTGCCTCGCAAGGTGCACATTAGCCAGCAGATGGAACTGGTACTCCAATAGGGGATACAGGCATCCCAAGCAACTTATTACTCATTGTGCCAAATACCCACCCCTGCAAAATGCTATTCAGGATGAGTATCCCTTCTACTTGGGACCAGAAGTGCTTCACATTTTGAAATACGACATGAGACAAATGCAGGATGTGTCTCCAGTCTAAATTAAACATCCACTTATATTTCAGACACATCTTATATGCACTGCTTGGAGGTAATTTTATACATTATTTTCAGGGTGCCTGTGTTTTGACTGTAACACAAAGTAAGGGGTGGGATTTTCCACTTGTCATGTTGGCATTCAAAAAGTTGCTAATTCTGGAGCATTCAAGATTTTCAGTTTAGGGATGCTCAATTTGTACTCCCTCCCCGCCTTGCCCTCCCGGAGAAGGACTTTTTCTACCACATTAAAGGATTCCCTGACCCCAAGAAATGTTAAGAATCACTGTACTTAAGCAAATTTTTCCAAAGCCTAATGACTTATTTAAAATGTTATGGTTTCTACTTTGTTATCAGAATGGCAAGAATGTCATTTTCTACTATTTTCTCCTAGGTGGTGGACTGAGCTTGCAGACTGAGTAGGGTTACTGTTATGACCTGGAACACATTAAAATAATGTGCTACATACTGCAGCAATTAATTATAAAACAACTTTAAGGATGCAACTAGATAGAAATTAAAGGAATTGAGAAGTAGAATAATCAAAATAAAGTCTCTTTTTAGCTTCTAAATTATGTGCTCACAAACTACTGTTTTTCAAAAGACACACAAGACTACAGTAGAAAAATTAATATAAACACTAAAAGCCTACAGGACAAGTGCAAGGGCTTATGCTTGGGGCAGGGTGGGGGGAACCTTTGTTTTGGGATATGTGCTCATGTTCTGATATTGCCTATTCCTTTTAAGCCAACAGACCAGCTTGAATTCCCAAACCAAGAGTCAGAGCTTCACAGAGGCAAAGCTTTGTTAGTACTTGGAACTCTTAAGTGAAGCAGAAATACAAAAACACATTCACATTCTGTACTATGTTACAGAAAAGAGTTACCATAGCAGGCCTGCCTGCCACCCTTAGCAAGCCCAGCTTGGGCTGACTACTGTGAACTTGGATTTCAGGAGGGTTCTACCACCATTAAGCATAGCTTCCTGTGCCTAAACTAGGCAATTTGTCCTGAGCCTCTATCTGCTTTCCTTCTGGAAGTGCAGAATTTTGGTTTGTGCCAGATAGAGGCTGCCTGCCTAACTAGCCCCAGTACAATCCCTGGGCACTAAGTCTCTAATGAGCTTCCAGGTGGGCAACATCTTACAAATGTGGACAGAGCTCGTTGCTGCAGCAATTAACTACATCCCCAGTGACTCGACCTGGAGAAGACTCTTGCAGCCTTGCATCCAGTCTCCCCAGGACTTCCACCATGTACCTCTTCCCTGGTAATCGCACTTGGTATCCTCTTGATGTAAATCAGCAGTCCTCCTAACAAATTGGGGATAATCAAGACAGTCTTGGGGATCCCAACACATCACTCATTTAGTTTTTAAAACACGTTGTTAGATTGGCTTATTATGTTTGTTTCACTAGTAGTACCCTATAAAATAATTTTACATTTAGCCATACATCTCGTCTTCACAACTGGTCAGTTTAAAAGAGTTGTAAGCAGCGTGAAGATACAATTGAAAGGCTTGTTTTCTCTCAGTATAATATACGAATGGAGGACAAGCACATCTCCAGAAACTATGCTAAACAAAGTGTACCAAACATTTCAGCCAAAATAAAATTTCATAGGGAAACTTTCCCATCTACCATGACTAACACAATACACCCCAATACTGCATAACAAATGCTTTGGTTAGAATACAAAATTCATTCCTTATACTGCCAAAAGTGATACCATTTATTGTTTCTCTAGGTTCATGTTGAAATGATTTGAGGCTCAGTTCCTTAGAACCCAGTTTAGAGATTACTGGACAAGCATACTATTCCTGTGATTCTCACACTACTCACAATATAAGATGAAAATTCCTTTGACATGTTTTGGAGGATGGAGAAGACATGACACACCCTATCATATTAAACTTACAAAAGTGCTAAGACAAATCACAGTTACAGAAATAGTAAAAAATAAAAATGTATGTGTAAGACTCCATGAAATAAACAAAAGAATGCTTTGTCTACATTATAGGGCCAACACAATCCTGCATATAAATCTCACAGACCACCCACATAGAAATTCAAATATTTCTATGAAACCATAGGAAGAAAAGCTTTTGAAAAGTAGTTGTTTCTGGGGCTGGCGCTGTGGCTCACTTGGTTAATCCTCCGCCTGCAGCGTCCGCATCCCATATGGGCACCAGGTTCTAGTCCTGGTTGCTCCTCTTCCACTCCAGTGCTCTGCTGTGGCCCAGGAGGGCAGTGGAGGATGGCCCAAGTGCTTGGGCCCTGCATCCGCACGGGAGACCAGGAAGAAGCACCTGGCTCCTGGCTTTAGATCGGTGCAGCGCCGGCTGTAGCAGCCATTTGGAGAGTGAACCAACATAAGGAAGACCTTTCTGTCTCTCTCTATATATATGTCTACCTGTCAAATAAATTTAAAAAAAAAGAAAAAGCGGGGCTCTCTGAGAATGTGAGAACCTTCAAAAAAAAGAAAGAAAAGTAGTTGTTTCTAATGAGTTGACTATCAGCATTAAAATGTAAAGAGTAAGCCAAACGTATCAGTTATTCCTTGGTAACTGCCCCACAAAAACTCTACCAAGAATCAATACTGATGCCCACATCATAGTCAGCAAACACCATCTTCATAGTTTTAAGGTGTCCTAAATTCCTTTTCTACAGTAATGACCAGGAAGTCACACCAGCTTCTGGAACGGACAGCTATTTGCATTCCTAGAACTCAGCAAGCATGACACTTGGGAGAAATATTTGCTGAATTTCTCATTTTATCATCTTTTGTCTGTATACAATTGTAGACAAAAATCTCAGGGGCCGGCTCCTTGGCGCAGTAGGTTAATCCTCCGCCTGTGGCACCTGCATCCCATATGGGCACAGGTTCTAATCCCAGCTGCTCCTCTTCCCAACCAGCTCTGCTGTGGCCTGGGAAAGCAGTGCAGGATGGTCCAAGTGCTTGGGCCCCTGCACCTGCATGGGAGACCTGGAAGAAGCTCCTGGCTTTGGTCGTTGCGGCCATCTCGGGAGTGAACCAACGGAAGGAAGACCTTTCTCTCTCTCTCACTGCCTGTAACTCTACCTCTCAAATAGATAAAATCTAAAAAAATTTTTTAAAAACCTCAAAGGCCCATACAAGGTAAATAGATGCTTCCTGCAGTGGGTCTTCTGATGGCTGCTGATTTGGGGATCCTAAGAGGGTTCAGAGAAAATGTCTATCAGGAAAACAACTATAGATTTCACTTTTTGGGGGGACCAAAAATAAACTCACCTTTTAACTTAATTTCCCCCCCAAACTTTTTGAAGTACATGCCTATCTTAAGAGCTAACAGGTAACTGATATCAGTGGTTATTACACGCCAGGGGAAGAGGTAGGAATGTTTACACCTAAGCAGGGTTTGAGCGCAGTCTGCAGCATTACCAGCAAGGCTGCTTAACAAACTTCTGGCTCCCAGGTAAAGCCTACGGGGTCGCCACTTTCGCAGGCCGGCACACTGAAACCCGCAAGGGCATATCCAAGTTCTCCAGATGAAGCAGAAAATCCACCAACAGTGACCGCCAGTGGACCCCTGCTAAACACAAACACCACGCATCTGACAGAAATTATCTACTGCTTTTACAAGGCTACCCAGGCTTACCGAAGCGAGTCTTTTAGGCCCACATTTTTTTTTTTAATCATTGCAGACACGTTCTGCTGCCTACAACTGACTGGCTGTCATCCTTTTGGTACTTAATTTGAGAGAGAAAATAAGCGGTACCTCCTTAGGTATTTTGGTGACCGAGAGGTTACGAGGGATGAGGGCCCCGGGCAAGCAATACCATCCACGTGATGGTGGAAGGAGCCGAGTAAGCCAGGCGCCTCCACCGGGTAACGGGGGCCGAGTCAGCGGGGCAGTGGGAAAATCGGGTCCTCTGCACTCCCAGGCCGAAAGCAAGGACACCTGCTCCTACGAAACTTCCAGTAGCCGCTCTAGGATGATTTGTGAGTAACAGCAAGAACCGGAAGATGGGCTGTGGTGTAAAGGCCAGGAGTGCCAGGAGACACTTGGCTCACCCCGCCCGAATGCCAGAATTTCAGGTTCCCTGGCCTCACCGCGTGGCTCTGGGGCCTGGCCTAGGCGGGGCGGTGCGGCCCACGTGTCGGCCGCGCCCTCGTCCAAGCCCCCAAACTGCTCGTCCCAGGCTAAGGACCAAGGGCCTGGCCTGTGTGTTCCTCTCCGAGCCCAACGCGTTCGCGAATCGCCTCGCGCCAGACCCGGCGTTTCCTCACGGTCCGGCACGTGCGTCCCCGGCCCCGCAACCACAACGCCGGCCAGGTCTGAGCCCCACCGCGGCTCCCATCCAGACCCCGCCTGCGCCAGGAGCTAGAGGAGCGCGGCCAGCGAGGTTACAAACAACCCCGGCGAGGAGAAAGCCCCCACTCACCCGGCACGGCCTAGAGCGCGCCGCCGCGAGCGGACCGGGGCGGCACGGCGGCGGGGCGGGGCGGGGCGGGGCCCGGCGGCGTGCGCACGCTCCGGGGCGGTGCTCCAGCTCCGCGCCCCGCCCCCGGCCGGCGCGTGCCGTCGGCTTCTGGGCGTGTCCCAGCTGGGACCCCGCCTCTGGCGCCCGGGCAACCCAGGAGTTCTGCGGTACTTATACATCAAAGGAAATGTTTTGTTTTGATTGGGAATGACATGGCTTCCTATTCCGGGTTCCTTTTGTAAAGGAGAAACTGAGGCCCTGAGAAAGAACGCTAACTGCTTAAGTGTGGGGAGCTGAGGGTTCAGTCTCTCCAATTGCTTTTTTTTTTAAATTGTACTTAAGGTATACAGTTCATGCATTTCATATAGACAGATTTAGGAACACAGTCATTCTGCCTCTACCCTTCCCTCCCTCCCGGCCACGCTGCCACCCTTCCTCCTCCTCCCTCTCCTATTCCTACTCTTAATTTTTACAAAGATCTTTCTCCAGTTCACACATGTAAGGTTAATCCTACACTAAGAGTTCAACAAATGGAAGAAAAAAAAAAACATTGTTCTTCAATAGTGGAGACAATGGCTGTGAACAATCATCACATCTCAAAATGTCCATTTAACTCCAATACATTACATTTTAGGTTCTCTATTACTTACCTCAGATCAGGGAAAACATATCTGTCTTTTTGGAATTGGTTTTTTAAAAATAATTTTTAAAATTTATAAAAAGGGAACAAATTTTATATGTAGAGCACCCTACCCTCCCTCTCCTCCACCCTCCACCCTCCTTAATTTTCTTTCTAACTTTTACAATGACAAACTTTCAACTTATTTTATCAGCACAAGCTTAACCTTTCAGTAAATAAAGAATTCAACAAATAGTGAAAAAAAACACTATTCCTCAAGAGTATAGACAAGGGCAATAAACAATAATCAGATCTAAAAATGTTGATTTCACTTGTTTTGTATTAGTTACCATAAATCAAGGGAAACAAGGTATTTGTCTTTTTGGGACTGGCTGATTTCCCCAAGCATAATGGTCTCCAATTGTGTCTATTTTGTTGCAAAAGATAGGATTTCATTCTTTCTTAATGGCCCAGTAGCATTCTATCCTGTATATATACCACACTTTCTCTACTCAGTCATCTGGGTTGATTGCAGGACTTAGCTATAATGAGTTGAGCTGCTATAAACATGGGGGTACAGATAACTCTTTCAGATGTTGATTTATTTCCTTTAGGTAAATTCCCAGGAGTGGAATGGCTGGATCATATGGTAGAACTATTTGCAGATTTCTGAGAAATCTCCAGACTGTCTTTCATAATGGTTGTGCTAGTTTACATTCCCACCAACAGTGGATTAAGGTACCCTTTTCCCCACATCCTCACCAGTATTTGTTATTTTTTTAAATTTTTGGGTGGTAGCCTTTCTAACTGGGGTGAGGTAAAACCTTATTGTGGTTTTTATTTGCATTTCCCTGATGGCTAGTCTTACCTTGAGCATCTTTTCATGTGTCTGTTGGTCATTTGTGTTTCATCCTATGAAAAATGCCTGTTCATATCCTTAGCCCATTTTTTCTCTCTCATCACTTTCTCAAGGACTCTATGACTGCTATGCTGCTCTGTACCAAGTCAACTGTACTTTAATTCATTCTTGCTGTGGAGAAAAAATTATTTCTGGTTTAAATTGAAAATTCTTTATGATCATGGCTATAGAAACAAAGGAAAAATGCAATTATTTAAGTAACTTTGGCCTATCACCCTGTTAAAAAAATTTTTAAATCAATTAAACTTAGTAGAGTTTACTTGGGTAAAGCAAATGATTCAGGAATCAGGCAGCCCCCAGAATTAGAGCAGGTCCTGAGAACCCCAAATAACAAAATGATCTGACAACATTTATAGAAAAATGAAGTTATAGAAAACAACTCAATTGGCTACAGCTTAGTCAACTGGTTACAGCTTCACTAGCTACAGTTTAACAAATTAATTGTTTACAGCTATGTCAGTTGGCTATAAGGCCTTCTGCAACTAGTGAAAGCTCAGTTGCTGTGAATAAACCCTTCCTTGGTTTGGTCTGTTGGACCCAGTGCAGGGGCTGAGTCTGGATCAATGCCCTCTTATCAATATATTTAGCAACTCTCTCCTGTTGACTTACTATCTGGAATGTCTGGATAGAGAAGCACAAATGCTTAGACAGGGTGATCAATGGCATGTCTGTGTCTGGCCTGTGCCTTTGCTTTGGAAACAGTCAAGGAAGATTGACAGGAGGTTGTTATTTTATTCTGTCAAGATGACTGAGACCAGTGGCTGTTTCTTTTTTTTGTTTGTTTAAGAATTATTTATGTACTTTAAAGGCTTATATATATATACATACACATATATATATACATACATACATACACATATATATATTTACATACACATATATACATACACATACACATGTGTATGTATATATATATATGTATATAGAAAGAGAGAGAGAGAGGAATATCATTCATTGGCCGCAATGGCCTGGGCTGTGCCAAGCCAAAAGTAGGAGCTGGGAACTCTATCTAGGTCTCCCATGTGTGTGGCAGGAGCCCACACACTTGGCTATCTTCGCTGCTTTCCCACACACATTAATAGGGAGCTGGATTGGGAGTGGAGCAGCCAGGACTGGAATCAGAGCTCATGGGAAGCCAGCATCACAGGTGGTGGTTAACTTGATACATCACAATGCTGGCGATTTCTGATGCTCTAGTACACCCGAACCAATGGGAGCACAGTACACCTTTCTCTAATCTTTGTTCCAAACTACTAAGAATACAAGCCTTGAATTATTGTCTGCAAGGTGTTTCACAGACTTCTTACTTCATTCTCATCACAGCCTTGTAATTACTTCCATTTTACGGCTGAGGAAACGAAATCAGGGGAGGTTAGGTAACTTGCTCAAGGTCACACAGCTAGAAATTGTAGAAACACTACTGGAGCCAACAAGTCAGCTAACCATGTCCCTTTTCGATGTTACTGCCTCCCATGATCACCAACAAGCCTCCAGCTGCATTCTTGGCAAAGCAACCCAGGGTTCACATCAAATTTAGGTTTTAGAGAAAACACTACATACACACACTCTAAACTACTGGACCTGATGTTGATAATGTACTTTGTTTCTATTTTGACTTCAAAACATCTACTCAAGATAATACAGAATGGACTGGCATGGTGCAGTGTGTTAAGCCCCTATTTGCAACACTAGCATCCTGTATCATGGCACTGGGTGAATCTCAGCTGCTCTGCTTTCAATCCAGCTCCCTGCTAATGGGTGTCAGAAAGCAAGGGAAGATGGCCCAACTACTTGAGTCCCTGCTATCCACATGGGAGACCCAGATAGAGTTTCAGGATCCTGGCTTCAGCCTAGCCCAGTGCTGGCTGTTGTGGTCATTTGGGGAGTGAACCAGGGATGGAAGATCTCTTTATCTCTCCCTCTATCACTCTCCCTTTCAAATAATAAATCTTACAAATAACATAGAACAATAGTGATGTTACAGGGATATGCCCAGTATCTTTTTTTTTTTTTAAGTACTTTGTGTCCAAGGTTTAAAATAGAAAGTCCTGGGAGCAGCCTGGTGCAACAGGTTAAGCTGCTGCCCATGACACTGGTATCCCATATCCCAGAAGGCTCTGCTTCTGATCCAGTTTCCAGCTAAAGCGCCTGGGAGGGCATATGGAGGATCTCTCTCTGTCTCTGTCACTCTGCCTATCAAATAAATAAGTCTTTAAAAAAATCCCAATCTCAACACAAACAACCATTTTCCAGAAGATACACTAGTCCTAAGATGTCTAACAGAACATTCCACATTGATGCCATCTCTGCTGGGGAAAACCATGTATCTTGAACAGGAGTTCCTTGAATGCAAAATTAGTCTTTCAATATGTTCTGACATTTTCATTATAATCCAGGGTACTTAGTATGGCAAACAGAAAAGCCCATGATGATCATTTCCTCTTCTGTGCCTTGCCATCTCAGTGAAAAAACAGGAAGAGGGAGAGACTGTGAGAGTGTAGGGGAGGAATGGGATGGGCATAGCCGATGATCCATTTATTTTGACCAAGATGCTCCTGGGAGCTATCATATTCCTAATGTATTGCAGGCACTGTTTCCAGGTTTGTTTTTGTTTTGTTTTGTTACTTTTGCTTTTGGTCTATTGAGTTTAAAGCTCCTCCTATATTTGATGGGTGCGGGAGCCGAGAGAGACTGCAGAAGACCCGGAGCAGCTCCATAGCTGCTGGCCTAGTTACCATCACACCTCCGGGAGGAGCTGCTGCTGGAGTAGCTGCCCCGGCCTTCATCACTGCAACCTACAGCAGCAAGATGTAGACCCAGCAGCCACCTGCCCACAGCAACCTCAGCACCGCCACACAAGCCCTGCACCATGAGCAACACAGGGAGTCATGGAACCTGTCACAGGGATAAAAAAGTCATTGCAACAAAGATTTTTGAATAGCTAAATGGTTCAATGTAAAGAGCAGATATAGTTTCCTCCACAGGATTGACACCAAGGAAGACATATTTGTACACCAGACTGCCCTGAAGAAGAGTAATCCCAGGAAGTCCCCTCGTGGTGTAGGGGATGGGGAGACTGTGGGGCTGGATGTTGTTGATGGAGAAAGGGGTGTAGAGGCAGCAAATACTGCAGGACCTGGTGAGATTCCAGTTCCAGCAGTAAATGCACAGCACAGCACAGCACACTGTAATCATTGCAATGACCTGCTGAATTCCCAACATAGTGAGAGTGGGGAAAAGAGGAGGGATCAGAGGAAGGCCGGGCCTAACCATGTGGTCCTATGGCAGGAGACGCTTCCCACCCTCCAACCTGCAGGGACACCCATGGGTGACAACTTCAGTGTTTCAGCTTTCCTGAGTAGGGAGATGTAATGCGGTGCTGAGAGCCAGGACAAGCAGAATATGGTAGACAGGTGAGGCTGAATATGCATCAGGGTTAGGATTGGGTTAGGGTTACACAGGGACACTCAGAAAAACCTAAACCTCAAGATGGCAAACAGGGGCCTTTGCTGTGGCATA